GTTCATAATGCCTTGTTTCAAACGAGATTCCAGTTTCATAGGGACGAGTCTACTAACAAAGGCAATGTGGTTTGATGCTTGACTGACTGTCTCACAAGATCCCGTTTAATTCTCGACCCCATCTTTAAAAGTTTAACAGCCTTTTTAGATTTCCAACATGGTAAAAATGAATTAAATTTAATCGTTTTCAGGAAAAACTTAAAACAGTGGCGCTGTGGCTTAGCTGGTCAAAGTGCCTGTCTAGTAAACAGGAGATCCTGGGTTCAAATCCCAGCAGTGCCTTTAACCCAGGGTTTTGACTTCATTTTCATGAATAAAACTTTTTTGAAAAGAAGTTCAACTCGTTTTGGGTTTAACAGCTTCAAGTAGCGGCGCTGTGGCTTAGATGGTCAAAGTGCCTGTCTAGTAAACAGGAGATCCTGGGTTCAAATCCCAGCAGTGCCTTTAACAATGTGTCTTGTCTTCATTTTTATGATTACAACTTGTTGGAAAAGGTATTCAATTCGTTTTTTGTTTAGGTGCTTCAAGTAGAGGCGCTGTGGCTTAGTTGGTCAAAGTGCCTGTCTAGTAAACAGGAGATCCTGGGTTCAAATCCCAGCAGTGCCTTTAACAATGTGTCTTGCCTTCATTTTTCTGATTAAAACTTTTTTGAAAAGGTATTCAATTTGTTTTTGGTTTAGGTGCTTCAAGTAGAGGCGCTGTGGCTTACTTGGTCAAAGTGCCTGTTTCGTAAACCGGAGAACCTGGGTTCAAATCCCAGCAGCGCCTTCGTCCCTATAATATTCATTTAGTGTTCATAATGCCTTGTTTTCAAACGAGATTCCAGTTTCATAGGGACGGGTCTACTAACAAAGGCAATGTGGTTTGATGCTTGACTGACTGTCTCAAAATATGTTTAATTCTCGACCCCATCTTTAAAAGTTTAACAGCATTTTTAGATTTCCAACATGGTAAAAATGAATTAAATTTAATCGTTTTCAGGAAAAACTTAAAACAGTGGCGCTGTGGCTTAGCTGGTCAAAGTGCCTGTCTAGTAAACAGGAGATCCTGGGTTCAAATCCCAGCAGTGCCTTTAACCCAGGGTTTTGACTTCATTTTCATGAATAAAACTTTTTTGAAAAGAAGTTCAACTCGTTTTGGGGTTTAACAGCTTCAAGTAGCGGCGCTGTGGCTTAGATGGTCAAAGTGCCTGTCTAGTAAACAGGAGATCCTGGGTTCAAATCCCAGCAGTGCCATTAAACAACATGCGAGAGGTCCCGGGTCCAAATCCCGGACGAGCCCCCATATATGTTACGACCCCCTGGATGGTCTAGGGGTGCGGGGACCATAAACATATAGGCAGAACCTGGTCAGTTGTAAAAGGGTAGGATTTATTTGCAACCAGAGGTAAACAGGCACGTGACAACAAACAAAAGGAGGGTGGAGTATGTGACTCTCCCAGGTATTGGAGTAGATAATGAGATCATCCATATAGGCATTACAGTTTTTAACACCGGCTAGCACAGTGTTTATTAATCTCTGGAAGGTAGCGGGAGCGTTGCACATCCCAAAGGCCATCACAGTGTACTGTAAAAAGTCATCTGGAGTCACAAAGGCTGAGATCTCAGATGCACGCTCAGTAAGAGGGACTTGCCAGTATCCTTTTAAGAGATCTAGTTTGCTCACAAACACGGCTGTACCGAGGGCATCAACGCAATCTTCCATCCGCGGCAAGGGATACGAATCACGCACAGTGACTGCATTAACTTTTCTAAAGTCCGTGATAAATCTCGGTGAACCATCAGACTTCTTTTCCACAAGACATGGAGAACTCCATGGACTGGAACTAGGCTTGGCAAGGCCATGCTGAAGGAGGTACTCTACCTCACCTTTCATTACTTCACGCCTCATTACATTAGCACGGTACGGATGCTGCTTAATGGGACGCGGGTTTGTTAGTTCAACATCATGTTTTACTACGTTAGTTCTGCCTGGCACGTCACTGAACAAGCTTGGAAACTGCGTAATTAACTCGATCACGTCCTGCCTTTGGGCATGGGACAGATGTGGTAAGCAAGTAGGTAATGCCTCAATCGCCTCAGAGTTAGTGAGACGGGAACCTGAATAGACGGGACAACGCGGCCGTACATCGTCGACGTCTGGTAAAGGCATAGGGTCAGACACAGTTAGAGCTACCACTCCAAGCTGAGGTTTCCCAATTACGGAGTGCGGTCTGCACCCCCTAGCAGTAACCTCGGAGTCTGGGCCCTTATTCCTGGCATGATAAAGTTTTAGCATGTTGATGTGGCACACACGTGTTTTCCTACGCCGATCAGGGGTGCTTAGCACATAGTCAGTGTCACTGAGCCTTTCGTGAACCTCATATGGCCCTGAAAACTTGGCGGACAACGTGGTACCTGGTACTGGCAGTAGTGCCAAGACCTTGTCTCCAACACTGAAGGTACGTTCCACAGCGGAACGGTCGTAATTCCGTTTCATAGCGGTTTGTGCGGCAGTCAACATGTGCTTAGCGAGGGCATTAGCTCTGTGCAGTCGCTCACGGAACTGACTAACATAATCTAGCACGTTTTGTGCAGGAACGGCTTGCAACGACAGAAACTGGTCATGCAGTGTGTGCAGAGGACCACGGAGAGTATGTCCAAACACCAGCTGGGCAGGGCTGAATCCTAGTGATTCCTGTACAGCGTCGCGAGCAGCGAACAAAACGAACGGAGTGCTCTCGTCCCAGTCAGTGCCATTGTCATGGCAATGTTTCTTAAGCATAGACTTTAACGTCTGGTGCCACCGTTCTAGCGCACCCTGTGACTCAGGATGGTATGCAGACGAAACAACATGGCGTACATTGAGCGTCCCTAGTATCTGTTTAAACAGCCTGGACTGGAAATTAGAGCCTTGGTCCGACTGTACTACACGGGGTAAACCGAAAGTGGAAAAGAATTTAGTTAGCGCCCTAACTATGCTCTTTGCAGTGATGTTACGGAGTGGGACAGCCTCAGGGAAGCGAGTAGCGGCACACATCATCGTGAACAGGTATTGGTTGCCGTTCTTAGTGCGTGGCAAAGGACCTACACAGTCGATAATCACTCTGCCAAAAGGTGCTTCAATCACAGGTATGGGATGTAGAGGGACAGGGGAAACTTTTTGGTTAGGCTTCCCGGTCATCTGACATACATGACAACTACGGCAAAACGTAGCTGTATCGGTCTTCAACCCAGGCCAGAAGAAATGTCGCAACACTGACTGGTAAGTCTTAGTGACTCCTAAGTGGGCCGACCATTTACTTTCATGGGCGACCGATAAGACATGCTGTCTGTAAACTGAAGGCACTACAATCTGATGCACTCTTTGCCAATCTGCATCAGGAGGTACCCCTGAAGACCATCTCCGCATTAACACACCATTTTCTAGGTAAAACGCTACTTTTTCACCACTTGCTGTGTTGCTGTCACTCACCACACACACATTCCTGAAGCAGGCCCGTAAGGTTGGATCCTCTCTCTGAGCCACAGCCAAGCGTTCTCTTGTAGCTGGCAGTGGTGGGGAGGAAGGGGACGTTTCGGTTTCGCACTCCACCAACGCTGGCTCCTTCACTGGAGTTGGATCAGCGGTCTGAAAAGGCTCACAAAACACTGTATCAGCTAGCGAAATATCCGACTCGAACGCCAACTGGCGTGCCTGCGCACGAGTGACGACACAAGCCGGAAATACTTTGGGTAACTCTGTGCTGCAGCCAGGAACCCTTGGTACATCGCACACTTCCAAAGTTGGAGTAACTTTACCCCCGGCTATGTCATTTCCTAGGAGCAGCACAATACCCTGTATGGGAAGTTCATCACACACTGCTACTGGAAAAAACCCACTGACAAGATCAGACTGGATGTGTACCTTATGCAGGGGCCGAGGCACATATCCCATTTCAATGCCCCTTAAGACGGACGCGAATCCACAAGCGGATTCAGCTGAAAAGGGTAACGCAGAAGCCAACACCACTGATTGAGAACAGGCAGTGTCTCGTAGCACTTTACCAGACTGCTGATCTGCTGGCAATCCTGTCAGTGAAATAAGGGCTTCGAGTACAAATGGGCGAAAACAGGCATCAACCTCACTTTGGTTGTCACAGTTTAGTTTAGGGCTTCGCAAATCGTTAATTAACCCGACACCTTTGGGCTGATGCACACGCGATGACAGCTGGTCTTTGCGTTTCAAAGTCATACAATCAGCAATAACATGTCCACTCTTATGACAATAAAAACAACGGCGCTCTTCTTCCTTCACACTGGGGTGCCTAGGAGGAGTAGACTGGTTTAGATTTCCGCGGCGGGCATTGTCTACAACTTGAGAAAAGGCTGGTTTGTGAATTAGCATGTACTCATCCGCTAACGTAGCTGCAGCAGATAACGTTAACACTTTTTGTTCATTTAAGTACATCACTATGCGTTCTGGTAGACAGCGTTTAAGCTCCTCTACTAAGCAGAGTTCCCTAAGTGCACTGAACCCAGCTACACTAGATGACGCAAGCCACCGGTCAAAGAGTATAGTTTTCTCTCGGGCAAACTCTGTGTAACTTTGCGCTGCTGGTTTCTTATGTGACCGGAACTTTTGTCGGTAAGCTTCGGGCACAAGCTCATAAATTCGCAAGATTGCGGATTTAACTGTCTCATAGTCTGTACTATCCTCTACAGAAAGGGAAGCGATAGCCTCCTGTGCTTTGCCTTGTAGCTTGCACTGCAACAATAAAGACCAGACCTCAGGCGGCCATTTTAATGCCAAGGCTATTCGCTCAAAAACTTGAAAGTACGAGTCCACTTCAGCTTCTCGGAAGAAAGGTACTAAAGCAATATTTTTGCTAACATCAAATCCTGGACTTACCGAGTCCAATTTGGATGAGTGGGGGAGAGAAACTGTACCAGCAGAACCCACGGCCCCACCAGCCATGGCTGCGTTGGCGCTCTCGAGCTCTAGCGTCCGCAGTCGCACTGCCTGGTCAGCCTCAATCTCCATTCGGCGTACTTCGAGTTGGAAACGCATCTGGCGTTCCCTGTCTTGTGCGTCATACTGGAGGCGGGCAAGGCGAACCTTTAGCCGCGCTCCTCCTAGCGAGTGAGCACTGCTGACAGAGGAAGGATCAAACCTGGGCAGGGTGAGAGGAGTCGCAGGCCTCTCACCTGCTCTGTCGGTATCAGATACATCTGTAGCAAGGTCAGGGGTAGGCGTGACCTCCCCTTTGGCAGCTGAACCAGCACCCGGGAACATGAGCTCTTTCTCTGGCAGCTCTGGCACTACAATTATCCCCCTCTCGACTAATGCTAACGATAGCATAGGTTTCAACACCCTTTTAAGGATAGTTTTGGGAACCGAGATGCCAAAGTGGGCTGATAACTGAAGCAAATCATCTTTCCGACACACATCCAACTGCTCCACTGAGGGCTGGCTTAGGAAAGTTTCAAGGTCAAACCGGGCAGCGGCCATGAGTCCCTCACTCAGGCAAGCTGCACCTCGTTACAGTACTCCGCTCCGCCTAGTCACACAAATCGACTACGCGACCAATCTCTGCCAATTGGGATTCCTCTAGAAAGGGATCCCGGACGAGCCCCCATATATGTTACAACCCCCTGGATGGTCTAGGGGTGCGGGGACCATAAACATATAGGCAGAACCTGGTCAGTTGTAAAAGGGTAGGATTTATTTGCAACCAGAGGTAAACAGGCACGTGACAACAAACAAAAGGAGGGTGGATGAGGGTGCTGTGAAAGACAAACTAAGTAAAATAAAAGAGATCCCCAAAAGGAGGACTAAGCCTGAACATACGTTAAAACAAACAGTAGGCGCGTACCAGAAAAAAACACAAAGAGCACAGCACCCACTACACCTATGACGCTAACAAACAAAGAACTACGTGTGGTGAAATCAGTGTAGACTCTGGCCCTAACTCACCCCCTTTTGTCAGCTCCGTGCTGGCAAAGACACACAGACCCAAAGCACAGTACTCTACCCGGGTGCACTCAATTACAAACACAGCAGGCACACAAGTCCACTGGCCAAGACAAGCTGCCTCGAGCCACTGGTGGGCTCTCCTTAAGTGCTGGAGGTAAGGCTGCGATGGTGACCTGCCATTGGGCGCGCTGGGACAGGGTGGACCAATGGGTGGAGCTGGAGTGAACCTGTGGTGCTCCACCGAAACCAGGAAGTAGGCGGGGCTTCAGTCCACAGGGCCGCACAGCCTACTTGGTACAGACAGGAAAGAAATACAGACCACGGTGACAGCCGTAACAGTTGCCTTCATTTTTATGATTAAAACTTTTTTGAAAAGAAGTTCAACTCGTTTTTGGTTTAAATGCTTCAAGTAGAGGCTCTGTGGCTTAGTTGGTCAAAGTGCCTGTCTAGTAAACAGGAGATCCTGGGTTCAAATCCCAGCAGTGCCTTTAACCTCTGTTTTGACTTCCTTTTTTTTATTATTCCAACTTGCTGAGATATTACATTTTACTTTTGTGCATTAAAACCTGGTGAAATACAGCTAAACTCAAGATCTTTAGGAATAAAAGGCATATCCAAGGGCTCTGTGGCTTAGTTGGTTAAAGCGCCTGTTTCGTAAACAGGAGACCCTGGGTTCAAATCCCAGCAGGGCCTTCGTCCCTGTAATATGCATTTAGTGTTCATAATGCCTTGTTTACAAACGAGATTCCAGTTTCATAGGGACGAGTCTACTAACAAAGGCAATGTGGTTTGATGCTTGACTGACTGTCTCAAAAAACAAAACATCCTATTTAATTCTCGACCCAATCTTTAAAAGTTTAACAAATCCCAGCAGTGCCTTTAACAATGTGTCTTGCCTTCATTTTTCTGATTAAAACTTTTTTGAAAAGGTATTCAATTTGTTTTTGGTTTAGGTGCTTTAAGTAGAGGCGCTGTGGCTTAGTTGGTAAAAGTGCCTGTCTAGTAGACGGGAGATCCTGGGTTCAAATCCCAGCAGTGCCTTTAACCTGTTTTGACTTCCTTTTTTTATTATTCCAACTTGGTGAGATATTACATTTTACTTTTGTGAATTAAAACTTGGTGAAATACAGCTAAACTCAAGATCTTTAGGAATAAAAGGCATATCCAAGCGCCTTCGTCCCTATAATATTCATTTAGTGTTCATAATGCCTTGTTTACAAACGAGATTCCAGTTTCATAGGGACAAGTCTACTAACAAAGGCAATGTGTTTTGATGCTTGACTGACTGTCTCAAAAAACAAAAGATCCTATTTAATTCTCGACCCCATCTTTAAAAGTTTAACAGCATTTTTAGATTTCCATAACGGTAAAAATAAATTAACTTTAATCTTTTTACAGAAAAATTTAACACAGTGGAGCTGTGGCTTAGCTGGTCAAACTGCTTGTTTACTAAACAGGAGATCCTGGGTTCAAATCCTAGCAGTGCCTTTAACAATGTTTTTTGACTTCAGTTTTTTATAATTCCAACTTTGTTAGATATTATGTTTTACTTTTGTGAATTAAAACATGGTGAAATACAGCTAAACTCAAGATTTTTAGGAATGAAAGGCATATACAAAACCAAAGTTTACATCCACTGATAGATACTGATTTACTTTGGCTGTTTTGAGAGGTCAAATGATAATTACAGCAAATTATGGCTATTGAAAAAGCCCTTTCCTAAATTCTGTTGTTGTGCTCCGGAGCCCACAACCAAACCAAACACACAAAATATATATATTTTTAACATCTTCAGCTTTTGAATGGAAAAAATAAATAATGATGTTTCAGCTTATGATTTAGTTGTGTTATAAGAATAAATTAAGAGCAGGCTGATGTTGTATTTCAGAGAGAAATATTCCACAAGGGTCTGCATCTATTCCCTGCATCCTAAGATTATCAGGACTGCATTTGTCTAGCATATTTATACATCTCCTGTTTGGCCTTTACTTATTACTTAAAGGCCTTTACTTATTTGGAGTGCGTGAAAGTGTTGTAAATTAAATAATATTTTTAACTTGGAAAAGAAATAAAACACTGGGGTTAAGTGATTGCTAAAATTTGAATTTTGCTTAAGTTTACATCAATTTATTATAATTAATTAATAAAATGTACTGTACTGTGTATATATTGTGCATTTTTCATTCTGTTGTACTGCTGCTATTGCACACAAATTTCCCCTTGGGGATTAATAAAGTATCTATCTATCTACCGTATTATGTCACAAGGACTTGCAGTTGCCTTTTAGATATTAAAAGGTGAATTTTGACAGTAAAGGAGGATGGGACAGAGGGTGTGTGTGTGTGTGTGTGTGTGTGTGTGTGTGTGTGTGTGTGTGTGTGTGTGTGTGTGTGTGTGTGTGTTTGATTCAAGGTAGTTTGTGGCAGTACATCATTTCCGTGCTATTTTTAATCAGTACACAGAGAAAAAGAAAACAGGCTTGTGTCTGTGTTACACTGTGAGCCCAGCAGAGCAAGAAGATTTACTGAGAGCATGAGCTCATTTCTACACCTCGCTCAAGCCTTTAAATCACACTCTCTCCGCTGAATGGCCTTCTGTTAATGACTTTACTGTCGACTTAGTTCCCATCTCGCTACATCCTGCCGGTTGCTACCCTGTACGGATGACAGTCCGCTCTGATCTGTGCTCAGATGCAGCTGTTATCATTTTCAAAAAAGAAATTAAAAATTCATCCGTCGTCTTGGGGTTTGAAATTCAAAGGACAACCGTTTATATAAGTAATAGAACCGTAAATGGGAACAAGCCATGAATGATCAAGCTTTTGCTGCTCCTGCCATAACTTACAGCAACAAACAAGGTCTGGGTTAGGGAGCCAGGGGAAAGGGGACGTAGGAGGGGTTCAAGTGTGCAAGGGGAGCAGTTGTGGAGACGGTGCACAGGGGCGCAGAGAGAGACAGTAGAGAGAGAGAGAGTGAGGTGAGTAAATCTACAGCCATGGTTAGCCCCAGCATAAGGTTTAAACGGGAGTGGAGTGTGCAGTGTGTTTCCACGGGTTTCCATGCTGTCACAAAGACCCCTGTGAGACCAGCTTATTTACCCTGCAGTAAAACCCGAGAGGGAGTATACCCCGCAGTAAAAGTGGAGAGGGGGCTCAGTGGAATTAGATTTAGGGCCGCCTCCGGCGCTCTGTTCTGTTTGTGCCATCGGGGGAAAAATCCACTCGACTGCTCTTGTTCCGTTGTTCAAGTTGAGTTATGTTGCACTCAGAGTCAGGGGGTGAAATGTGCTGTAAAACATGCGGACAAGTTTCAGAATAGTTTTTAATTAAAGAGAGAGGTATAACATTGTTCTCGTTATTGGTTACATAGTGGCTGGTACAGTGACAAGGGATTCATTTAGAATATATAAGCAGTTTTGCTTATATATTCTTAATTAAGTGGTTATCACATTTCACAATGCCGTTGCATAAGCACTCGCTTGGCTGTACAAGATGTATTTTCCCAATTAAATGTCCTTAATGTCCTCATAGATCATTATTTTCCAAGATATGAGGGAAAAAGCATATCAACAGGATTTCAAAAAGAACATAAACTTGCACATAACACATGGTTACCTAGGGAACCAACCAACCAGCGATGATTCAAAGATGTTGCATACACAGTGCAGAGGCTGATGGCTCCACGTAGCCGCCCTCATGACAAAGTTGCAGTACCGCATGTGTCTTACCAACATGCTCCGCAGATGTTTTCCATTAAGAAATTGTAGTTCTGATCTCCCCTCCTTGTGGAGAGTATTGCTTTGTTACGTTGCCCATTTTGATCATGTTCTAGTGATTCAACCAAAACTACAGGCTCAGACTTATTCAATGTAAAAGTCTGCATGCAATATGATAGCTGGTTACTGTGTGTGTGTGTGTGTGTGTGTGTGTGTGTGTGTGTGTGTGTGTGTGTGTGTGTGTGTGTGTGTGTGTGTGTGTGTGTGTGTGTGTGTGTGTGTGTGTGTGTGTGTGTGTGTGTGTTCATAGGGGCTGAATGAACAAAGCTTACAAGCAGTTACATCCAGAGGTTGAGGTTCAACCAGCAGCTATAAATCTTTTTTATCTGTGAATTGGAGATGCAGCTCTGTTGAATTTGCTGTATATCATCTACATCTAAAGTGGCAAAACATCATATTTTTTGCATTGTTGGCTAATGTTGTATTAAAATAGCTATGGAATACAGATAATGAATGTTGCCACATAACATTATACCTAAAAACCCTGCAACTAGCTATTTAAATCTTTGTGCATCCCACAAAAATGTTTGCGTTTACGCTCGTCCAAATTTTAGTAAAAGAGTTGTTGAATTCTTTCAAATATTCGTTTTGTTGAATCATTCTTTATCTGTATTTGGACGTGAGAGTTGGAAATATGCGTAGTGTTCTGTATAAATAGAGCCCACAAACAAAAAAAGATTGACAGGCGGTGTGCAAACTTCACATTGTTTCTAAGTTACCACTAAACTAAAAGGTAAGATGTAATCCTTCTGCAGCTTGGATCAACCAACCATTCAGACCACAAACAGACTGAAAGCTGCACGGTCAATCCAAACACTGCCCAGTGCTCTCCAATCAGTTTCTTGCTCTCCATCCCCAACCACTTCTGACAAGTGAGTCAGGGTCAGTATGAAGCAAGTGAGTCATTCCAAGGCACTTGATTCTTTTAATTTATGTAGATTACGGACAGAAAAATGAATAGTGTTATTTTGCTTATGTCCTTTTCTTCAGGGTACAAATGCACTTAATGAAATAATAACACAATGCCTAATCAAATGCTACTCGTTGAGGTTACAAACAGATACTCCCTTTGGTTTGATGATCTTACACTACTGCCAGGTAAAAGATGGGATTACCAGTGTTTACATTCCATGCAATATGACTATTAAAATTGAATGCAATTTGCAAATAAAAGGACACGGAGAAACAAAAATGAGATACATTCAAATTGTGACACAAATTTTAAAAAGATGCTAGAGACGGAAGGCAAATCACTAAGCCTGAAAAGGCAAAACAACCTCAGTGATCTAAATTAAATTGACATAATCACAGCACCGGGAGCACATACAAGAACAAAAATATTATAGTTAAAGTCATTGTAACTAAACATAGGCCTCCTTAACACAAAGTATCAAAAGAGAGAAAAGTACACTTTTCTTATTATAGGTCACTAAACACCAAAGAAATACAGCCAAAGAGAAATGCCAGCTGTCTATGCTTGATAGACTGTGAATGGTTTCTCAATCATAGTCTGTGCTTTTCAGGGAGTGGAGGTGGAGGTGGGAACAGTCAAACTAATTTGTGGTCTTGGGGACTTTCCGGTTGCCATTGGTTGCCGTGAAGCTCTAAAATGCCCTGTAAAACCTCCAACCAGACTTTGTAGCAGAATAAGTACTGTTCCTGAAATAAAAAGATAAAGTGCACTTATAGCTTTTTTTCTTGTTTAAGATTCAACTTTGAACTGTAACGGCTCTGCTGTCACTGACCTTGGTTTGAATCATCCCGTGCCGCTGAAGTCTCATCTCTTTTACGACGTCACTCACATTGATCTAAGGACGGAAACAGACGGTTGTTAACAGGTCAGTGTCTATAGTTTAGTTATTATATCAATTATAAATTGACCAGGTGGAAACTTCAGAGTAAAAAACATCTCAAACATGCAGAGGTGCCTTGTGGGAATGCTCATTCTGGTATTTGGTCAGGAACCACTGAATTATACAAGGAAGAAATTATTAGAGGAAAAGTGAGAGGATCCAACCTCCATTCATACAAAATTTCATGGAAAAACATCTGATACCTTTTGCTTAGATTTTTCAGTCCTGACCAAAGTGGTGGACACACCAAGTGTCATTCCCATTGGGAGACCCAAGCCACTGACATGGCTGAAATACAAGATATGATGTGGTAAACTAATAAATAGACATAACGAAATGGCTCCACTCACAGGCAAATCCTTCTCAATGAGGCTGAGGATAACGTCGGTGCAGATGAGGACTCCTGTGCGTCCGATTCCGGCACTGCAGTGCACAGTGACTGGTCCCTTGTGGTGCACGGCCCTCAGGTAGCGTATGAAGCGAACAAGCTGTTCGGAGCTTTTCGGCACTCCGTGATCAGGCCAGTGTGTGAACTTCAGGTGACGGAGAAAATGTGTTTCACTGGTCTGGAATAAAAACAGGTTCAGGATGTGTGAGTAAACCAAAATAATGATGTTGTTTGAAAGGTAGGCAGATATGCCTCAGAGATCTCTTACTTCTATCTCCACCATGCGTATGACCTTGATGTGGAAGTACTCCAGGAACTGTTGGTTGTCCAGATGAAGCTGGTACCTGCCGACGTCCAGAGGAACGCCGAGCTGCTCTGGCCAGTACTTGTGACATTTGATCCTTCCCCGTTCTACTTCCTGGGTCATCATGGCAATAACATCCGATTTGTTTTCCCAGATCATCTGCCAGAAGGCCGGCCCTGTGGAAGGCAGAGGGCCCTGGCAGGAGATGTAGAGGAACTTCTCATCGCCTACATGCATGTGGATGTAGCTGCCGTTGATGTAGTCCTGGTTGTCTCCAAGGGCAACACGAGTTTCGTCATCTATGTTGGGGAAAGAGAAGGATGAAAAAACATATGGAGGTAAAGACCCTAAACTCTCTCTGCCAGTTTGTTGTTTCATGTAAATCATGTAAATTCATGTAAATCAATTACACCTCCATCCTCCTTTCAAACAGCACAGACTGGCATTTTTACAGTTTCCCAATGTTTGATTAATTCATTAATTTCTTGAACATGAAAAAAACAAACACTGCTACTTTGTTGTTTCGCCATTAGCGTGCAATCTAAGTGTACAGTAAATAAAGAGAAGTAAACAGCTCCGGAGTCTGGAGCCGGGCTCAACAGACCAGCGCTGTGAAGAAATGTGTTGGTGATGAGAGGGGTGATAGACTGAATGCAGTTAGGAATGTTTTGGGGTTGGTCCCCCACCTCCTGCTATGAAGGTTCAAAAAAGCCACAGACTGGAGAGCAGGCTGTCTACTCAAAACAGTTTCAAGCAAAAGGAAAGGATCAGGTACTGGCATGCTTTTTGCTTCTGCCCATGCAGCAGTGTACAGGGGGCAGACATCAGGGCATCAGGGCCGGGCGGGCGTCCCACTCGGAGTCACTGTCCCTTTCATCGCGCTCATTCATTTCAAAACTGACATTTATACCCCAACACACTCAGGGCTGAAGAAGTAAACGCTTCCATACGTGTTTTTATCCGTGTGTGTGTTTCCATCTTTTCTTTTACATTCTTCAGTATCATCAGTGCTGACCACAATTCACTTTTTTATTTTTCACAACATCCTATCTCTGTATTTTCCCCCATTAATAATATATCTTATCCATTCTATTTGTCACACATACGCCCACATCATAGTTTATTTTTCATCTTCACTGCATGTTCACTAACTCTCCTGTCATTTCAGATCCTCCCACCTCGTCACCTGATTTCCTGCACCTGGTTCTCCTCACCCTCACCTGTGGTGCCTCCCCTCGTCAGTCACTCACTATTTAATCCTGTCACATTCTTTTGCTCACTGCCAGATTGTCTTGTGTGTTTAACCAAGTTTTCCAGCGTGTCCCTAGTTATCCTGTCTACCTCGATCCTGACCTTGTCTGTTCCTCGACCCCGATTTACCTGCCTGCCCTGTTTCGGATTTATCTGCCTGTCTGTTTGCCATCCTGGTTCTGACCCTGCCTGTCCTCGTCTGCGGATTACCTGCCTGCCCCTCTGGAATTGTTTGCCTCCCGACGGATCTCCCGGTTTTGGACCCAGCCTGAACTTTCATTAAAACCCCTCTGTCTTGTCCATCGTGTCCGAGTCGTGCGTTTGGGTTCTCCTGTACTCAAGTACCAGTAACCGTGACACTATTATTTTCCGCTTCCTTCATCGCATATATAAATCTGAGGTAATTACAAAGTGTATCATTAAAGTGCAGCCTCAGTCAATTATTGATAGTGATATAGGAAATGATCATGACACAATCTGCTTAAACTAATTGACTAAGAAAACAGCAACAAACCGCTCTCCTGTAAGTGTCAAGTCTAAGAGTATCCTGCATTTACAATAAAGAAATGAGTAAAGTTTAGATTCTGCAGGAAGAGAGTAGAAGCTGAGTGAAGCCCTCTTCTGGACTCACAGGGTAGGATGTCTCTGTAGCGGTTCTTATTTCTGTTTTCAGGGGCTTTTCCCACCAGACAGTTGTCGGTGGGTTTCAGATGCTCCAGAGCCTGAAATGAACAACATGAGCACAATAACAAAAAAAAAGTTATTATAACCTTGTAGGTAAAGTTGTAATGGCACAATCAATGTGGTACAATATTAAATGGCACATTAAGTATTCCCTTTGTTAAGGCCATTTCACGCCTACGAATCACACTGATAGATACAGTGGACATTAGATATTTTCTCTATAAAACACACCGTGAACTCTTTGACCAGTTCTTGCTGGTCCAGTTGGTGTTGCAGAATCCGGATGAGAGCTTTGACCCTGGAGCCTGAATATTGGCTGGTCTTCGCTGGGCTAATGAACGCTAAAGTGGAAAGTTCCTCCTCTGATACTATGGGTGGGCCTGAGAAAACAAAAGGAGGAAAAGAGATGCTTGTGTGGCTCAGAATAGATACGATTTTCACTCTGACACCCACACAGCCAACGAGTAGGAATACACACCTGTTTGGGATGTCATTTCCTGACCAGTGGCGTCAAAAACATCATCTTCCTCTTCTTCGCTGCTCCAGCCATCTGACTGTGTTTTCCGGATGTCTTTGCAGGACTGGTCCAAAAGTTTAGTCACTATTCGTTTCCTGGGGGAGTCAGGGGGCAGGGGTGAGACATCATGCAAGGCTGAGCTTCCTTTCCCTGCGATTTTTCCACCTAAAATACAGTATAGACAAGACGCTAGAATACCTTCATACTTCTACCATACTTGTTGTTGTAAGACTACAGATCATAGTACTATACACTTTGCAATTTGTACACCGTGATTGTCATAATTGCTTTAGAGCCCACAAGGGACAGCGTTTCTCCAGGGTGGTATGTTTTCTATTCCTCTATACTGCCTCCTGGTGGTTAACAGAGGAACTCCAGAAGCCCAGAGAAGAAGCAGGAGGAGAATAAGTGGGGAGGAAAAAAGTAGAAAAAATAACAGAGGGAAGTTACTACCTGTGAGAAGCTCCATGCAACATGTCAGTGACATTTAGGGATGGGCAGCAGGCTTGGTGAGAAGGGGTGCTGTCACTGCTCTCCTGTTCCACAGACAAGCAGCCAGAAGGCTGTGATTTTAGTCAAACAGAATTTACGTTTGTAACTTACGTTTGAATTTTCGTAACTGCCACACAGGTGCGTGTGCTTTTTAGCTACCTGTGTAATTGCAGTATCGTCGGTGACGATAGTCAATCGACGTGGTGGAGGAGGTGATGAGGTAATGTACGCTCCAGCGTCACTGACCACAGTGTCTGAAGTCGGCTCTGAGACAATGTCACAGGAACGCAATTCATTTACAATACATACAGTTAAATTCATATATTTAAAGAGAAATTGTATTTTGAGATGTTATAGGGCTTCAAATGTATTGTACACAGCTAGTTTCTTATATTGTTTAATCCTAATGATTAATATTAAGTATACAGCTTTGCCGTTCCTGCCTTTGTGAATTTTTCCCAGATGCAATTTAAAACTTCTACGTCCGCAAAGGTCTTAAGAGAGATCAGCAGAATACAGACACCTCTTTATTTCAGCAGTATCGCCCTTCTAAACATCACAATAACAGAAAGGACAGTTGTCAGAGGTCTCACCATGGGGGCGCTCAACTGGCTTATTCAGCACGGCGTCAGGAAAGGGACAGTTATCAGGGTCGGACACCGGAGCCGGCTGCTCAGCTGAAATAGCTGCGGTCTGAGTGGACGTGTTGGGCGGTGTGGGCGACTCAGAGTATGTCAGGGGCAGAGTGTCTCTGCTGATGGTGAGCTGCACAGTGCCCTCAGCTTTACGTAGGATATCCACCACCTTACTGTGGCTCAGTCCCGACACAATCACTCCGTTTACCTGGAAATGGCACAGCGGGGATCAGGGTTTTTGCACATGACAGAGGGTAATAAAACAGCCACGGTGCAAGTTGGGTCGTTACCTCTAATACAATATCTCCCACTTTCAGCCGACCATCCTGCTCGGCGACCCCACCGGAGCAGATTTCCTTCACTCTAAGCAAGCTGCCGTTTGTTCCCCCGATCAAAGCAAAGCCAAGCCCTCCTCCTTCTGGTTTTGTAAACTCCACTTGCATGACGCAACTCTACAGGGCCCAGATGAGAAAAGGGGGGAGAAACCAATTGAGGAATCGGTCGATGTCTTCCACTGTATTTACAAACACACCGTCTGTTCTGCAGAAAAGGCCATTGAATTGTTGATGCATGAATCAGGTGTAGAAAAAAGCGGATAGACGCACACAGGCCGTATTCAGTATTCACAGATTGACACACAAATAGACTCGTGTTACAGGGGGTCAATAGACTCTTCAAAGGATGGGCAGATGGACAAAAAAGAACAGATAGAGCTGGCAAGAGGTGAACAAAGTGAGTCCATCCCAGAAAGAATGAGCTTTTGGACAAACATAAACAATATGTTTAGAAACTTACATTGTGTTCTTTTGTGAGGGATGGACAGCTAAATTTTTCTGCAGTCCTACACACATCTTCAACTGAAAAAAACAGAAGAATTATCAATGATTCTGTGACACAAAACAACTCAACTGAACAAGCAATTGCGTAAACAAATTATGTTTTCAATTGATAAATATAAATGTAAAAAAATAAAGTGAAACGTCTGGACTTTAGCTCCAATCTAACAACAGCAGGTCGCTTCTGTACAAATCTCCATCCATGCGACCCTTTTCAGCCAATGACAATTCCGTAACACCGACACACAGAGAGAAAAAAAAAACACACACCAACCTCCCACCTCTTTGGCCATTTTGAAAGAGAAGTGATGATGTGTATGTCTCTTCTATGACAGGTAAACGAGGCTGGTCTTTTTAGACTGACCCTCTCTACTGTCCCTTACCGCTGCATGTACCGTCACCAGGCAACAGAGCTACCTGCCCTGCAGACCACTGGCTGTATGGCATTGTGTGTGTGTGTGTGTGTGTGTGTGTGTGTGCGTGCGTGCGTGCGTGTATGATGGCCACAGCCCTGCAGTCCAATACACCAGTGGAGGGCTTGAGGCTTGCTAATTATTAATCTCGCTGTGAGAGCCCAGGATCTGTCTGTCAGCATTCAGATCGCACACACACGCACAGACACACACACACACATGCATACACACACTGCAAAGAGAACTATCTTTCAGCAACGAGCTCCGGCTTCACGTAGAGTGAAAGGGAACTAGTTACGGTGCGGATGGAACATAGGAGGGTTTGGGGGGGGGAACACACTCACAATCTTCGGTAGGAGAGTCCGTATCTGGAGAGACCGGCTCTTCAAACGAGCAAAGAACTTCCTGTCCTTTTTCCAATCAAACAGACCTAAAAAAAGAAAAACTTGTACTAAATGCACCACTGTGTACTGGAAACAGTTCAATTTCAGTGCTAAATCTAAATACAAACGGCCAGTGTCATCCAATAACGTTTTCTGGTAATGATTGAACGTAAATTAATGTGGTTCAGTTGAGCACAAACGTATCTGGAAACTAAGCAATTCATCAGTGCGTGTAACAACCAAACAATCCTCTATATGTGTCCTTGAGTTAACGAGAGACAGTGAAACCATCCCCTAAATCCTTAAAACGTACCGTTCCACTTTGCCTTGGGGTTCACTGGCTGCTCTTCTCTGTGACAGACACAAACATAAAGTCATTCAAAGAACCAAAAACGAACCCACTCCAGTGTGTATCTGTCAAGCTTTTCAGTGCACATACCTGATGATTTTAAGTTTGACTTTTCGAGGGGCGATCTCACAGGCTTTGACTGCGTCTTCCAGGGTCATTCCCAGGGTGCATCTACCACAGATGTAGAGGATTTTGTCATTGGGTTGGACGCTGCCCTCCTCGCTGGCTGGGGATCCTGGCACCACCTGCAGACAGTAGATCCCCTGCCACCTGCTGCCAATACCTCCCGTCAGCTTTATACCTGGAGAGGTAAGACACGCATAGCAGAAACAATCAAATAAATGTGCCTCTGTCTTCAAAATATCAGTAGAGGGCCTCACCAAGCTGTCCCGAGGGTGTCTTGTGGAGAACTATATCAGGTAGGCTGTCACAGGAAGGCGGGGCCACCAAGTTAGTGACGGACCTCCCCAAAGTCATACTCAGTTTTCTCGGAGATGACCTGAGAATCGTCATGGCAACATCATCCGCCACACTGGTAACATCGTGCCCATTTACCTGGAAACAAATGATAGAGAAGGAATTGCTTAGTCAGCTTGACCAGCATACACTCTAAACGAAATACAGAAAAATAAGATTCTTAAATTGTGTGTCTGTGTGTTTGTTTGTGTGTGTGTGTGTGCGTGTGCGTACTGTGACGAGCCTGTCTCCTGCCCTGAGACGTCCATCGGACTTGGCTGGGTTGTCCAGTATGTCTTGTATGTAGTAGCAGTTGTCTAGCTTGCTTCGAGTGATGGTAAACCCAAAGCTTCCACTCCTGGACTTGGTCAGAACCACTGTCAGCTCAAACTCCTTCACCAATCCCTGACCGGCCCAAAAAAACAAAAACAATAATATATCTAATACAGTGAACAACAAGAAATAATTTCCATCTTATCGTCTGTAAGCTTAAACTTTGTTGATTTTGGTTGATTTTTTGGAAAAAGTGGTTCCATTTCCCAAAAATATGCAGCGTATTTGACATTTGTTTACCGTATCTCTCAGTTCAGTATCTGTCTTAAGACAAATAAGCAGGACACATTATTTACTGCGCCATTGGCACAAATCTGCATGGTAATGTTTCAAATGCGTCTACGTTTTCTGCTGGCAGATAAATCTAATAAAGGTCAAAGGTAAAACATTTTTTTTTTGGCAAAGGTAAAGTGAGCCAAGAACCTTTCTTCGACTCTCTTCCTCCTCCTCATCGTCATCATCATCATAATCATCACTGTATTCCCTTTCTTTCCTCTCTGGTTCTTCACTGTACTGTGTGTGGCTGTGGGCGAGAGGCAGCAGCATTGTGGTGGGCAACGTTGGGGCAGGTGGACTGGCACAACGAGGCACCGAGGAAACAACCTGGGCCATGATGGGGTTCAACGGTGGAGCATGAGGCTGGGGTGGGGTCATCATAGGCCTGCTGTTCTTGTGGGTGTCTTTGTAGTGACTCGGAAGGAGCCCTTGCTGGATCGGGTGGTGTTTGGCTTTCGGTGGCTGGGTTGTGAGGGCCTGGGATGGGTGGGCCACGGGGCAAGTGGTCGGGGTGTCAGACGAGAGGCCGGGGGGCAAGACGGCGCTGGCGGGGAACCGTGCGCCAAGGCTTGGATTCTGAGCGCTGGAACTTGTGGAGATGTTGGAGGTTTGAGAGTGGACGCCTGTGAGGTTAGTTGGTGGAGTGTGAGCGGCCAGGCTGGAGGGAAGGCTGTGAGCAGGCTCCAGTGTGGAGCTGATGGTCAGGTACTCCTCATCTGCCATGATAGTCAGTCCATTTCCCATCAGGCAGTAAGTCACACTTCCATCCGCCTCCTCCCTGACTCCGCTGCAGATAGACAAAATATACTGTATATGTGGTACACAACACAGTTATAACCCCAAAATGGCGGATTTATATTGCCATAATGCTCTTATTTTTGTAAATTTGTGTTTCTAAATGAATCATGTGATTATAATGAAACACTTCTTTGATGGACCACTTCAAACTAAAACTCAGTCCTCAGCTGCTGTGATGTTACTGCCATTGACTGAGCAATAATCTGGTCAATAATATGGGTCAATGAATAGACCATAAGTCTGTGATAAGAAAAAGTCAAAACATTACTGCGGTTTAAAAAGCTACTTGTGCAGTACTACAGATATAACTGGATGCGGGAGACTTTGATGATGGTACTCATGCCGTTGCTTAAGCAATTCAAGGTTAATCCTGGCATTATGTTATATCAGGTGTCATGTGTTTGAGACATTACCTTGCATATGCGTTTGAGCCAGCCTTAGGACAGATGTCCAAAAGCATCACATTAGAGCCCGTTGTTGTTGCAACCTCCTCTTCCCCGGCCTTGTTCTTCTTCTTCTTCGCCTCTACTTCCTGTCGTCCCTCTGGTTTCGCTGTGCTTGGCTGTGACTCTGGTGGAGATGGTGGAGAGCCACAGGTGGGTGAGACGGGTGAGGCCGGCGAGACCGGTGACGGAGGTGATGTGGGTGAAGTGGGTGACGGGGGTGAGCGTGGACGAGATGGGGGAGTCTGGTTGGCCCGCACTTTACCGTCGAGATTCTTCCGGGTCTCCGGAGGTCCTGCAGCTGCATGAGGACCTGGGCTTTCCTCTGCTGGCTTTGTCAGGTCTTGCTCATGGGTGGGGGCCTGCGTCTGGGCGGGTAGTTTGCGATCATACTGGAATTTAAGGAGCTGGCTGTAGTCATCTCCTAGTCGGATGTCCAGCGACTGAGATCGCACCTCGCGGAAGAAGGCAGGACTCTGCAGAGTCAGACATGAGGTGAGATGGTCTTTCTGGATTACTGAGTCCAATTTAGGAGTTTAGTGTTTTTTTCTATATGTAAATAAATGTGTGTGCGGTAATGGGCGTGTGGGCTCACCAGTGTGTTGTCATCTATATCATACAGCACTCCAGGACCTGGTCGACAGATCCGAAGATTAACTTCGGATGGAGCTCCACGCAGCAGGAACAAAACTCTCTGAAACAACAACATAAAAAGAACATGTAGGATACGGGAGTGTGCAGATCTTTTTAATTGTTGTGATGTACTGTGTGTTTAAGTGCACCTGTGTGAATGCCATCAGAACTCCTTGGCAGGGCACACAAGATGACACATCAAATAAGACAACCAGCTTGCTATTTTCGGTGGTATGAGATTAAAGGATTAGTGGACTAATGACGTGGTCGAGATCTTAAGAAAGTACCGGACCACTGCTGCCGTTCTTCCACTCACAGCCCATTCACAAACTATTTACCCACAGGCAAACTCGCCCCCACTGTGCTCCTGTAAATCGGAACAAAAGGCTCAAAAGCCAGTTACTGCTCTTAACAACCATTCTTTATGTTTTTAAATATTATAATAATGGGATACAAAAAAAATCCTATATAAAACCAACACTAATGTAATATGCTTCATAATTTGCTTCTTTCATGTTATCAGGGATAAGATTAATAATCATTTTGATTACCCCCCCCTCCACCCCACCCCATACCTGGTATGAGAGGTCTCTGACAGGCTCCTTGTTGACAGACAGGATGACGTCTCCCTCTCGTAGCAGCCCGCTCTCTATCGCTGGCTGACCTGGGAACAGGCGCTTGATGCGGACCACACTGCCGCGGTCGGGCCCCGAGTGCAGATGCGATATGTTGAAGCTGAAGCCGAGGCCAGACAAACTCTTCTTCAGCACCACTTCAAGAGTGTTGTCTAGGAACGAGAGGAGACGGCGGGCAATCTTTGAGCATTAATGTCTGTTGTGTAATCTTTAATCTGACATGTGGGCTGTAATTTGGTACAGTGAGAAAATAAAAAAAAATAAAAAAACTTTCATCGACCACATCAAAGCCTTGCAATGGGAAGTATTGATTTAAGTATTGATTGGAAAATCTGAACGCAAAGGCAATCCTTTTTCAATGAATTTGTCTCACTTTTCTATCAGAAAAGGGAGGAAAACAGGAAGGGTTTTTTAGAGACAAGGAACTGTCCCTTTAACTAGGATCAGGCCGGGAACAGGCAGCTTCAAGGTTTCAGTTCACGCTGTCTCGGGGGGGCCGAGGGAGCGTCATCCCTGGATGACTCTGACAGCAACCACAATGTAGCTGTCAGATTACTCACAGTCACCTCTGGGCCATGTGTGCAAGTGTGTATGAATGTGTGTGTGTGTGTGTGACACTGTCAATCTTTTCTTTTTTTTCCTCCTATGTGAGCGTTTGTGCCCCATCCTCTCGCCTCTCACCATCAGTCACAAAGCTGTAGTCCTTGGCTCGGCCACTCAAGGTCGTTTCCATGGAGACTTCAGACATGGGGGGCTGTGTATGTGATGAACTCTGGGTCAGGAGGGGGCAGGGCGAGTCAGGTCTGCTCTCCAAGATTACTGTGGGCTCCCTCTCCAACAGCAGGTTCACCACCTATGGGGAACAGATCCACATCATCGCACAACATTTACATGTTCAACAGTTTATACTTTTACATACACTGAAATAGTAAAATACAGAAAAGTTTCAACAGCTGCTATGCAGCTGCAGCTGAACGGCTGTGCAGAAAATAGCAGCTGAACCATCTGATAAGACTAAACATAAACGTATGCTCTAATGCTTTTTTTTCTTCTGGGTAGTACAATCATATTGTTCTCATTAATAATGCAATAATATGAGTAAAAGGAAAAGTATGTCTCTGGATTACTGCATGTGTTTCTATGTGTGTGTGTGTGTGTGTGTGCGTGTGTGTGTGTGTGTGCGTGTGCGTGTGTGTGTGTACCTCCCCCGTCCTCTTCAGACACTCTACAGCTTGGTTGTGAGTCACGGCCCTCAGGTTGAACCCATCGACCTCCAGCAGTCTGTCACCTGTCATATGCACAAACGCAAATCTCATCATCATTAGCAACATCAATACATAAACGGTTTGTGTGTGTGTGTGTGTGTACAATGTTTTGATGGGCATGTGAACAAATCTAAAAGTCGTTCCTGCTCAGTGCAGCATGAACCAAGTGGACAAAGACACGCTCCCGTTTTAGGCCTTTCATCTTATTGGGCCTGATACATTACCCGATTCAATACTTTGTGATCTACCCTACTTCAACAAACATTGTGTCAAAAGGATACAATAAAACATTGTGATATATATCACAATGTTTTATTGTATCCTTTTGATGATGATGATGGTGAGGTAATTGATAAAACAACATTATGAGAGAAATACTTCATAGATGCAAAATTGCATATACATGCAGATATTTCATTCATTAAACAGAAGTAAAGAAAATAGTTTTTTTGGCAGGCATCTGATTGTGTATAGAAATTAAAAATAAAAATATCACCAATCTGAATGCGCCTGTCCTGCTCTGCAGCACCTCCAAGCACCAAGCTCTTGATGTAGATTCCTCCATAACGCACGTTGGTGTTTATTCCTCCCTTTGGGCAAAAGGGAGAAGTAATAATTCAATGTCTAAGGCCTCCAGGTTAATGTGTGTTGTAGTGTATTAACTATATAGGTATCATAGGACTGTTTTAGCCTGTTTTAGGAATTAGTTGTAGCCAGCGTGTAAAAGGTAAATGCCGTTTAACAAAAAGCAAACGATTCACTCACAGCGACACTGATGCCGAGACTACCACTGCTTTTCCTAAGCTCCATTGCAAACCGCTCGCCACTTTTCAAACTCAAGATAGAGGGGGACCTGGAACACTTATCCTGAAACAAAAGAAGGTTTAGAGAGGAATTCACAAAGACTAAGATAGAAACGTGTTTATAGGAAACAGTTCAATTCCTCAAAACTTTGGACTGTCCTTCTTCAGCACTGACCTCGTGCTTTGCTTCCACGGAAACAAAGTAATCTCTTACTAGTACCTCATGCTTTGCTTCCATGGAAACAAAGTAATCTCTTACTAGTAACTCATGCTTTGCTTCCATGGAAACAAAGTAATCTCTTACTAGTAACTCATGCTTTGCTCCCATGGAAACAAAGTAATCTCTTACCTGTGCGTCATGTATTCTCACAACAGGAATGTGTAGCCTCCTGCTATGTTTTGGGGTGGTTGCCAAGCTGGACAGACTGATGGCCTCCTCCAGTTCCTCCACCACAGGACGATACTCGGTGCCGCTCAGAGTGGTCTGCGAACCAAAGCTCCTCTCCAACGCCAGACCGAGAGTGCTTTGACTCAGGGACCTCGCGCGGTCTTTCAAAGACTCTGATGGGAAAACAACCGGGAGGGAGAAAAGACGTCATAAAGGCAGTTTTAAGTTGCACGAGTAATGGTTGGTAATGGTAATGCATTGCGCCGATCTTACGTCTAGGCTGGGACACAATGAGCTCTACTACTTCAGGGCTGCTCTGTAGGATGGCAGCGGCGTCACTGAATGTCACTCCTTCCAAACTGGTCTTGTTCAGGGAAATGAGACGTCCCCCTGGAAATATCAATGAATCATTACCAAGTTACGTTGCATGTTGAGCTGTAAACATGTTTCTAGTTGTAGTTCTGTGCTTTGTACCGGGTTTGATTCGTCCGTCCTTGTCCGCCGGCCCGTCAGGCACAATGGAGGCAATGAAGATCCCGAGGTCAAGTTTACCGGTGTTGTCCTCGCCAACTATCACAAAGCCTGAAACGGAACCAGAGAGGAAGTGAAAAGAGGATCCTGGTGGAATATTAAGATAAGTGTTACTGCGAAAATACATTTTATGTAAAGTATACAACTAAGTGGGCCTTAATAAACTCACCAAAGCCCAGTTTTGGATCTTTCTTCAGGTTCACACAGACTATCTCTCTCTCTGGCGGGGTCCTGGTTGGTGTATCAACTGTAAAGCACATGTTTTATATGGACTTCTGTGAATCAATCTATAGGTCAAATATACCATGGGGAAGTTTTAAAGTCTAGCACATCACACGGATCGCAGCCATCTGAAGTTCACAACAACCACACGTATTCACCTCGAATGGAGGACGAGGCGTCAGAGTCCTGCTTGTGAAGCGAGACACTGGACATCATTCTGGGAATCAACTCGGGGGTGCTGCAACACGTGCGCAGTGACACATTACAAAGCTGTTTACACTTAATATTCAGAGAGAATCTGCGTTTGTAACAAGAACACGACTGTTATTATCATCACAAGCTACCTCCAGCACTGTCGCTCTTTTACATCCCTTAGCTCTCCCGTTTCAGTGAGCTCCTTGTTGAGCTCTCTGCTTATCTCCCTCCTCATCTCCCTCTGCTGGCGCAGCCTCGCCTCCAGCTTGTCAGTGAGGTTTTCACAGGACTTGGAGAGGGAGTCCGGTTGACCGGGTGTCAAACCGACGTGGTTCAACATGCCCTCTGAGCAGGAAATTCGCTTCAGACTCAGGTTACGATCCCGGTAGGCGGACATGTACTTATCCATGCTTTCATCTGAACAAACAAGAGGTGTCATTATTCTTGCATCAGATAAAAAAATACAATTGATTCTACACAATCAGGTCAAATGGAGCCACCTGATATCATGGTGTGGTTGAGTTGTCGTGATGTCATCTCGCTGTGAAACTTGTGCTGCGCCGAGCAGAGGTTCAGTAGGTACTGTGCTATTTTTGAGCTTTCGGTTATAAAGCTGTGCTTCTTCCCACTGGGCCCTCCGCACTCTATGACCAGTTTACGCCGCTGAAAGTCAGACACAAATCATGCCACATTCTAGTTTGATCTCGAAAATAAATTGAGCTGTAATGTCGGACTGAAACACCTACCCCAGTGGATATGGTGTCGGTTTCCCTCCAGAGAAAGCGTCTGATGACAGACCGCAGGTGGTTTTTCATCTCGTACACAATGATTCCTTTGGCACAGATTCCCAAAACCATCTCTCCCGCCGCCAGCCTTTTTTCTCTCCCCACACGGTGGAACATGACCCCGTACTCCGGTAACTGCTGGGCAATCTGGGAGGTACATATTTTAAAAAATGCATTCAATTTTAAACAGTAACTATTTGTGTCAGCGATTCTTATAATGAAAATATGCAGGTGAAGGGATGCAGTCTTGATACCTTTAGGTACTCTGTTTCAGCCTCCTCGGGCAGGATCTGAGCATGACTTGCATGAAGTCTTGGTAACTCCTCCTTGACATTGGGCAGCGCCAGCTTCTCTAGCATTCTCTTGGACACATAATGCTCTGGCTGGTAGTAATTCTTCCCATAGAGCTAGAAAAGCCACAAAAAAAAGAATAAAATGTGCTGCTGTAACACACTGAAAGATATATTTTTCTTTTTCCCTCTGTACCTCCTGCATGTAATCCCCAAACTCAGCCTGCAGAGCAAGAGCAGCCAGAAACAAGCCTGTCTCCTCGTTACAGTGGATCCGGTCCTCCAGGAGATCCCTCCGGAGCTGTAAGTAGTACTGATGCCGGGTCAGTCTGTGCCTAGGAAACAGGAAAAGAACATTAGGTAGAAGGTTTTTAAACTATGCATTTCTAGAAATGGATTTTACAACATTTTCTTTTGAAGCCAGAACTCTACTTACAGAACAAAGGACATATCATCAACGAAAAATTTGACTCGAAGAAACACCAAGAAGGAGGCTATCTGCCCTTTCTTCCAACTGTCAGGTGCAATTTTGGAGATTTTTGTTTCATTATCCAAGAAAAAATATTCATCATCTGCAGAAGGACAAAAAGAAAGCCTCTTTAACTCCAGCCAACTTGCATTAAAAACTGAATACAACAACTATCTAAGTAAACAACTTTGTTAAAAATTGAAATAGTGTATTCCACTCTCGAGTAATTGTGAGGGAACAATATCACAAGTTGGGCTATGGACATTTTGAAATTAATTTTAAATGACCAGACCAGAATAGCTCCCATATAATATCTTACCATCTATAAAGGCAAGACCAAAGTAGAAGTGTTCTACCAAGTTTGCGTGAGCCACCACCATGTCAAACACATCTCTTGCTTTGGACTTAATGTCACAGCGAACCACCACGTACTGTCCGCTAGGCAGCACGACAGTCACCTCTCTCTGAGACGAACACGAACGGCCCTTTCTGGACTGTGGTGGACATGCACAAACACACTCACACACATGAATATACAGATACTGTTCATGCAATTCAGCACACAGATAGTTTGACGTGCAAGAAAAGACAGAGTTTAAACAGCGTAAAAAGAGGACAACAACAGGAATTCACAGTGATGTTAATCTGAAAGGAGATGAGATGAACAGACAACATATGAATTTACCACGATGGATCCCGGAAGCTCAAGAACAATTTGTTGTTCGTCTGACATTCTGACGAATTCTGGACCCAACGCCTGACAAAACAAACACACAAAAAAGACTTTGCTGCTCTGTAAATGTGTCCCATCACTCGCAATAAATGCTCCACAGTTGTAGCATCGGTACACACACAACGTACCTTTTTATGTTCTCAGAAAAATATTTCTCCTGCATCCATTTCTCTGAACCTACAAAACAAAAAAATCCCTGAACGTACCTTAGCCTTCCTATTGCTGAGGCTGAGCGAGGACTCGCTGAAGGATATGGAGGGACTGTGAGATCTGCCCGATGCCTTAGGAGAGATATCGTGCTGGGGGCTCCTACCAAGCCAACTGCAGTTGCTGTCCCTGTGACGAACCCCACGGGGCAGTCTGAGGGCAAAGAGAGAGGCGGGGGAGGTTGTGTAATAGTTGTGCAGTGAAGTTGGAAAAGTCAAACTCTTGAGACAATGTCATGTCCCCTTAAAGTCAGTCAAGAGAGTGAAGAGAGTGAAGCTCTAATAGTTGAAGCGGTACTGATGTGTGTGTGTGTGCAAACGCATGGTACATACCGGTCCAACGAGGATTGGTACATCGGTGTGGGAGAGCTCCGTGGCCTTTGTTTCCAAGGTCTCTGAGGTAGACTCCCTAGAAAACAGACAATTGTCAAAAAACAGGCACCCACACGGTAAAGTAGAAGTGAGTACATTTTGCATTTCATTCGGGATTACATCTGCTCCCCAGAGATGTGTTGAGAGAACGCAAGAGAAATTCTTTCTACCGTTTTGAATTCTTTTCAGTACCTGACTTTGAGTCAGAGTCTGTAGAGAATCTTCTCCCTTCACCGCTGCCTTCACCGAAGTCTGAAAGTGGCCCTCTCCTTCCTGTCAACCAGGAAACAAATAAAAGAAGACAGTGATGTTTGAATCCCATCTGTTCCATTGCTTCCAGGAGATGTTTGGATAGGACTGAGGCCAGCGGAGAGTTTGCGTCTGCTTATTGGCTCTCGCAGGAGCCTAATCCTGGGCTTGCTTTAGGTTAAGATTTTAATCCTGTTGACCTGTATGCACTTCTCAGTCAAAAGCAATGACTTAAACTACTTTCTGTAACTATGTAGGATTAAAGATCAAACTTATTCATAATTTCATAATGAATCAAAGAAATAGAACAGTACAGGCTGTACAGTACAATACGTAATAAGTAAGTAATAACAAATCCTTCCCCTGTTCCCAGTGCCCTTTGGATGTGTATCTAAAACCTCTAATAAGACTCTTAGCATGCATGCTCACCGTGTAGTCTCTCTCGAATCATCTGGCTCCTGCCACCCAAAGGAACATGGATATCAGGCGAAGAGCCATGGTCCATCTGAAGGAGAATGAATCGTTAGGACTAACAATTTACTTCTATTTCTTCACAATGCAGATTGTGCTCTCAGATTCCGACAAGTACACAATGGCCTTCAGAGGAACCGCTTTTGTGACCGGCACATACTGCAGGTAGACCTACAGACTCACCGATTCATGAAAAACCTCCTCCACCAGCTGTTTGATGACTTTGGTGGGTGACGGCAGGACGGTGGCTTTGTGCTGACAATCGCAGGCTTCCAGGATGGCGTTGAGAGTCACCCTGCGATGTGCCAAGTCCTCACACATGCAGAGCAGAAGGCTGTTTAGATGGTCACTCAACTGGACTGGCTGAGAGGAATGAGAGTGGAAAAGTCATTATAATAATGACGTGGGACTTTGACGCGTGCTGATGTAAAAAAGGCAGCTTAGTACGAAGAGTCACACCTGATTTTGAGGTAGTTGAAAATCAACTGACCAGTAGAGAGTCATACCCAGTGAATACACCAGCATCTGTGCAACAAAATCAGTTCGTTAAGGACAATACAGTTTGGATATATTCTTATAAATATCAACAAACTATATAATACATTTTCATTATTGTTTATTATTATTATGAACAATATGAACTTTATGAGGGATATATTAGATCACATCGAGTTGGTCAAGCAGGAAAATAATACATGTAATATCCTGCAACCAACTTGGAATTGAACAGACAATCAAAGTATAAAGTCAGATAAGACTTGATTCTTCTTTCAGAAACGTCATGATTTCTATCAATGACTGAGAAAAAAGAGCATGTTGTTTTGTATAATTCATCAAGGGACATTTCCTGCAGCCTTCAGACATAAACGCCAACCTATCCATAGTTATATAAATAGGACATATGGAGACGATGAATACAAGGCATTCATGAAGGCAGATGTCTGTGAGACCAGAAAACATATATTGGAAAACTTTTCAACACATAAAGACGATGGAATATTTTTTTTTAGTTACTTCTGAGTTGTTTGTACCCAATGTTTATAAATAGGGCTCTGAAGTTCAGAATTCAGGACAGCGGTTGTCTTTGCTCAGCCACTAGATGGCGTGTTTACCCAATTCTCGACCTTCAAATCTTCTCCTTCTGAGATACACTCAAAGGAAAAAGACCCATGAGGAGGTGGCAGCAGGGCTTAAAGTAACAGAAAGACCTCCCCACTATGAACTAAAACTGTTTTGTTAGTCAATAAGCGCAGGTATGGGGATGTATGCACTGACCCTCTCTATGGCAGGTTTGGTTGAGCTGGCACGGCCCTGCAGCATCTCTGGAGCCGTGAAGGTTGATACATCATCTGATAGGCCACAATTCTTAAATGCTAAGGTACCAGTGGCTGACAGCAGCAAGGAGGTGGGACTTATGATATAACACATATTGTTCTGACCTGAAAAAAAAGGAGAATGTCCATGAGATGTATGGTGCTGAAACTGTTCTATGGAAAGGACAGAGTGAAATATATTTAAAATGTTATATGTGACATTGCAGTAAGATAGTGGGATGGTTAAAGCAGGAAGTGCATGTGCCCACGATAAGAAGGGGGTTATCTAAACTGCTTTACCCATGTATGAGACATCCACTAAAGACTCCGCAGTGCCGAGGAGCAGAGACCAGACCTCCTCCTCCAGCAGAGGTCCCCCTCGCGCCTCCAGTACTTCAGCTAATGTAACAAACGTGCTGCTCATCCTGCACACATTCCAGACACACACCTGAGGAAACACACACACACATATAGGACATACATATACAAACCTAAAGCATCACCTAATAGAGGTATTGGTCAGGGTCGTATTTTGACCGTACTAAACCATTGCGTCTCGCTCACAGCATTTCGTTCTGCGGGGCAGTGATGCGAGATCACACTGAGAAAGAAAAGCTGTTCTTTTGGACTCTGATAAGATTATCTTACTCCATCGGTCTCACTGCCTATGCCTCTTACCGCCCCTCCCATTTCCTAATAGGCTTTCTTCTGACCACTGGGCAATTCCGAGGGAGCAAAGCCACTATGTCATGATCCCATGGTAGATGTTGACACACATATTACACCTGTAACACTCATCGTATTGAGTGTATCATTTTGATTGAGTTTTTTTCACTCAAATTACATTAGAAGAAGAGGGTTTTTTTAATCATAGAAATGGTGGTGAATGCTTGAAAGATCAAAACATCCACTTTGACTTGTCCTGGAACTGAAATGAATTAGGTAATATTATAGTAAAAGCAGCCATCCACATACAAAGCAACATGCTTCCAATTATGCAAACAACCCAATTACTCGAGCCCTGATTATCCTGCACTTAAAGTGTGTTCATCCTCAGCTCGCGACACCTAATGTCGACTAAATGCAAAGACAGTCGAACAAGATTAAATGGCTAAAAACAAAATAACACATGCCGTTCTGAGTTTATGGACATTTAAAGGGATTGAATCGTTGTATTAAATATAAAATAATCCAACTGTATCCCTGCACCCTGGTTAGTCGTTATGATAGAGAAGGGGTCGAAGCAGAGAGCAGGAACCCAGCCACGTGCAGCCAACCGTCCTTTCTACAGAAAAAACGTTTGCAGCTGCAATCCCTCAAAGTGGTTTGTCTACAGGTGTTAAGTTACACAGAGAAGCCCTCAGCCCACACAAAGATGATTATTGGTTGCCAGTTAAATGAACTGGACTGAAAACTATAAACATAAAGCAACTGTGCTGTGCACCAGAGGGTTCGGCTCGTTGGGCCGGCTGGAGCAGGTGGCACCTCGCTCTGTCTCACCATCAACATCAAACGTTCACATCCCATTAGAGCGTCTGCATTCATAAATCACAACCTTTAAAACTATAACAGTAAGATTAAATTATAGAGAAAAGGTCCCTCATCTCAGGAACTGACTCTTTGGTCCAGTTTACACACTATTTGGCACACAACTTTTCTCTCGGTGTAAAGCATCTTGTGTTCTCTTATTTATAATGATGAGAGGATGGCATGAACCAGTCAACAAAAGAACAATATACTGTATCACCGTGTTCCATACAAACCCCCTCAGTGATCCATTAATCAGACGGATGTGGACAGAGACGGAGGAGAAGCTGAACTCTGTCCAGGGGAATTTGGGACAGCATGCTTCTTCAGATCTGGGTCTCTCATACACTTCTCTCTCACCAAAATATAAACTGAAAATTCCCAAGTTCTTATGACGTGCCGAACAAAACGTGGTGTAAAGCTGCTAAAGAGTCCAGTTTACGGCACAATAAGCCCATAACAAACAACACATTTGTCAGGATGACTTTTGCAATCGCAGGCCTGACTATAAAGGCTAGACTTGTAGGTAAATCTCAATACAGTACCGTGAAGGTTTAGCTAGGGTTAGTGCCTGAAGTCAAATACCTAATAATGCATCTCAAATCTCAGAATAAATGTATCCGAACATGAAGACATCCACTCAAAATCACCAAACTGTCCAACAGCACTACATAGCGAGAGTAAAATGGCGAGGAAACATCACCTGGTAACCATATGTGACCTGTGTCAGCGGTCTGATCCTTTGTGTTATCTTCAGTGCTCCCACCACGGATCCAAAATAATCCTCGTGATCATCCCATTGCCGTTTTGACGTCCTCTGAGTGAAGGCTGCTGATCAATGACTTGAAGCGCACACGGCGCCCCGCTCATTTGCCCTTTTCCTACCTGCACCACGCCGAAGACCTGAAACTTTTTGTTTGTTTTACTGTAATTGCGGCTATTCTTAGCGCTCGCCTTTAAACACTTAATGGGATTACTCTCGCGTTTTTTGTGTGTGACAGCGACAGGTCAAAGCCACCAATAGCGAGTGGCGTGGGATCAGCTACACCGATTTAACTAATCCGTCCGACGCCCAAAAGGTGCGGTTGCATCCCCGGCGGTCGGTGCGCTGCGGAGACGCCTGGGAAGGACGGACGACCGCGGCCAAACGAGTGGCTCGCAGCCCGCTGCTGCGAGGCCGCCCCACCGCAATGATCATAACACTGCGGACTCTCCTGGAACAAGGGGTAAGAAACCTCAGCGGCGAATGCCTTTTGCTGCGGTGATTCCGCGCCCCCGGGAACGTTTATTCACGCCGCTTTGCCTTCCCTCGCGTTGCGCGCAGCGCGTCTCCCTGCAGGCCGCGGGGTATCTGCGCAGCGACGAGGATAAATAACAACCCACCCAGGGCTGTCAGGTGGGTGTGGGGGAGATTTTGCTTTTTTTTTAAATACTACTCGGTGCTAAATTCACGTCATTTGGCCTCACGTGCCCATTCGGTCACATGCCTTCGCAGAGCATGGCTCCGTGCACGCATCCGCGCGGTTGTAGCGTGTCGCTCAGAGAAAGTGATGCAGGAACTCTAGGTGGTACCATAACTACTACCGGGCTGAGGATCTCCGCAGAGCCCGTGCAGGTCATGGTCCCCCGGGTGGAAGGAGAAGCCTAAAACATTTCTCTGATGGTGAAATAAATTCATGTCGAGCGGACTCTGCAGCGTCACTGTTTACAACACATGACGTGGCTTCAATATGCTTTGTCTCAGTATGGCATCTAATTAACTAATTTCTTCTATATGTTCTTAATCGTATTTGATGCACATGTGTCTGTATATTTTTCTTCTTTGTTTGTAGACCACCTATTAAATCAGCATTACATTACACTGTATTCTGTTTAATGCACATATAGCCTAATTTAAATGGTGCCGTTCTCTGTGTTCACCACACTGATGTAAGAAAACTATATGTCTGTCAGTCATATATCACACGAGTATGGCAAAGGTTGCAGAACTGCCGACATTTTTGTTAAGATCAAACAAATTCATGTCTGACAATGATATAAATAAAGAAACAAGAACATAAATGATTGATACATTAGAAATTATTGTATGAATTTAAAATGTGTCCTTAATGTATTACTTCAAGGAGACTGGGCCGCCCTTCCATTTACTCCTACAGAAAGGTGTTTTTACTTTTAGTTGCAGAAAAAATGACTTTCTGACCGTGTGTGCTCAGTGAACTATTCATGGAGCTTCTCAGCCATTTTCCTCTTTGACATCAGATATATTATTTTCATCAAAAAGAAAAGGAGAAAATATGCTGAGATGCTCCCTCTTCATTTTGCCATTTGGATATCCTTCTCTCGGTACATATGGATCCGCGTTTTATAGGGTCTATATGTTTAGTCAGACCAATAAACCCTCTCCAATAGATGTACTGCAGACATATAGGAGCATGAAAAAACGTTGAACAGAAGGAGGGCTAGAAAGACAAATAGCTCGATAGCTAATAGAAAGGCCAGCGGAAGGAAGGAAGGGGGATGGAGGAGGAGGAGGTGGGAGTGCCTCTGTGGAGGAGTGACGTACTGCTGGGACGCATGCCCCGTGCGCGCCCCGGCCTGTCAGCATAGTACCCAGATGGAAACGCAGGCAAGTGAAATTCGGTGAGGTCATGTATTTTTTAAGCCGCACAACGGAATAAATCATCCTTCAACCGGCAGCGTAAACAAAGAGTCCGGAGCATTATTCGGCTGATCGGACCGCGCGCGCGGCGGCGAGGGGATCGATACCGTTTCGTTCGATGACGGAGGTAAGATGGTGAGATGGTACGAGGAGGATTCGCACCGCGGCGCCTCAGACGTGCTTATTGTTTGGCCGGTGGGGGAGGGTCGCGCGCCCGCTGTGTGCACGCCGCTCAGCCGACGACGTGCTGGTTCTTTAAGCGCGTTACGCCGAAGCGTTTCTTTACCGACCTAAAACACGCCCGCGTCGTTATCTCTCTCTCTCTCTACATATATATATATATATATATTATCCGTAGATCGAGGCCGGTACACCGACTGCGCACCGGGCTCCTCCGGCAGGCCTCGTCGTATCACAGTGTGGCCGTCATGAACGTCTTCTGCCGGGGCCTCGCGTGCAGCTACGCGCGGCTCTTCCCTCGCGGGTTTATTTCGGGGGTAGTTCGCGTATACCTGACACATAGCTCTGGACGGGGGGGTCGTGTGGCCAAGGTTAACCCGCTGACGAGAATTGCGATAAATAAATACGGGTTCGATAGTGGTCCTGCGGTTAATCGGAGCCTCCATGATGAGCCTGTGTGTGTGTGTGTGTGTCCGTGTCCGCCCCGCGTGCAGTTTGCATACACCAGGCGCGTAGATGCGGATAACATGTGAGACATGCACGCACGTATGTCGCGATGACACGAGCCGGTAGGGCACGTATGTTAATCATGTACAGGATCCGGTTTACGTTTGGACACATTTTCTCATTCAATGAGCTTCTCGGCTGTTTGCATCAGTTATGTGTGTGTTTCTCGTTCTGATGTGGGTTGATTTCATGGGATAAAAAAAAAGCACCACGTGTTGTGAGAATACAAATTTTTTTTAGAGAAACTGTTTTTGTGTGTGTGTGTGTGTGTGTGTGTGTGTATGCACAGAACCACAACCACAGGATCTGAATTGTTATTAAGTGTGAGATTCAGAAGCTCTTCATTAAAACCATGAGCAGCTTGTTCAGGGGGAAACGCAGGTTAAATGCGCTCTAGGAATGCAGAATACAAAAGGTACCTGGATGTAAGCGATGAGCTCTCAGGAGCTGTGGCTGCATTCCTTCTACTGCAGCTGACACATAACTGCAATCTTATAGGCTGCCATTGATTTCAGAGGTATTTGTCGATGCAGCATGAAGTCATGATCATCAATACTACTTATTTCACAGTAATTCCAACGGTATGTGTGACTAAATAACAATTTACAAAATCCTATCACCCTGTGATTCTCTCCCTGCGCTGCCCGGAACCTAATCGTCCTTATGGATAACCATTAATAGAATAATGGCCAAACCACAGAGCAACAGATAAGTACTGTAGAGCAACGTCATTCAAGTCTTCAGAAAGCAGACGTGCGTGTTTGTCTTTCCATCCACAATATAAAAATAGGCAACATGTCTATTTTCATGTTGTGAGGGAGGTGGATGTTATGTACGTCCTTGTGACGTTTGAAGAGAGCTGACTCATTTTATTCTGGCACTTATATCCCTCGTATGGACCGCGTGTCGACAGGGTGGGGAGGGGGTTTACGCGGCTTACGTAAGAACTGGAAGAAAGGGAAAAGGAAGTCCGTTGTGCACACAAATTGGCATCTCTACGTTGTGTCTCATCTGGGCTCTCGGCCGAATGGTGCAACCTGAACCAGTTGACGTGCGCCTGTGGAAGACCTGCTTGTTTGCTGGGCTCGAGTGTGAGTGCATACGAATTATCACCAGGCTTGATTTGCCACTGTGACGGTGTCATTCTGAGGGTTATGTTTCTCATGCTGTTCTGCCACCACTGCTGATGGTATCAACCTCTATCCTGGTGTGTTTGCCGAGATAAGAAACAAGAATTCAGCCGTGTCTTTTTTCCTTCACTTCTAATCTGCTTTCTTGGATGCAGGGATTTTAATTAATCTTTTTACAATTCTGGTAAATCACATCGGTGTGCCTGTCTTTGTGTACACAGAGGACATTTTTGGATGCACAAAAAGCTGTAATTGAAGATTTCGCCATGAACAAAAACAAGAGAGAAAGAGAGTTCTACAGCCTCGACGTTGGAGATTCGACGTTCACAGTACTGAAGCGATACCAGAATTTAAGACCCATCGGCTCAGGAGCCCAGGGAATCGTCTGGTGAGTGTTGCAACCTCGTCCATATTTAGTCAAATCTGGGTCACCGTTTCCAATATTTTACCTGAACATTCCTGACAACCAAACAATATTTCTGTCTTCTCGAGAAAGAAAAATATGAATCCATTTAAACTGAAAATGGTCATAATTAGTGCAGTCTTTGTATTTTAGAGATATCCGGACCAGGAACTCATATTAACCTGTAATCTCTAATCCCTACTATGCTGCACCTGTGATCCTATTTTGAAACCATTTGCTAACTTCTTCTTCAACAGCTCTGCTTATGACCAAAACCTTGAACGGAATGTTGCCATCAAGAAGCTGAGTCGGCCGTTTCAAAACCAAACCCATGCCAAGAGGGCGTATAGAGAGCTAGTCCTAATGAAATGTGTCAATCACAAAAATGTAAGTAGGAAAAATATCACACGTGGTCACATATAGAGAATGTGAATGGCTCGTATGCTTAAATGCGTGTTGTACTTTAAATTGTGCTTTCATATGTCCCTGTTCTTTTAATACCCACAGATCATTGGCCTATTGAATGTATTCACACCACAAAAATCATTAGAGGAATTCCAAGATGTGTAAGTAGCTACATGTGAGATATATTTGAGAGAATACCGCATTTATTGTTTGTTCAAATGAGTGACTCTCTCTTGCTACTGTGTAACCTGTTTCTGCTCTTGTCAGATACCTGGTGATGGAGCTGATGGATGCAAACTTGTGCCAGGTCATCCAGATGGAGCTGGACCATGAGCGGCTGTCCTATCTGCTATATCAGACGCTGTGCGGTATCAAACACCTGCATGCCGCCGGCATCATCCACAGGGTGAGCATGAGCTGGCCACGACTTCACAGACCAATGCCAGGCCAGTGTCCCCTGGAGGGACGCGTTAAACCCTCAGTGACACTGGACCTGATTCTATGGGAAAACGCTCACCTCGGCCCATTATTAGAACATGAATATATTGGAGTTGTTGTTATTGGGGAAAGTATTCATATTTGTGTCACTTCTTTAAATGTAAAACCTGATTTCAAAGCTGGTATTCTTTCTAAAAAAATGTCTTTGAAGAAAACACAGAATTTACTATGTGAGTGAGACTCATGACCTGCAAAATGGAAAAGGGCAGGTGAACGTATAACATTTTCATACGGATCAATAATAAGCAGGTGCTAAGTGTGTGTGCACAGACTGATCTACAATTGCACCAAATCATGAGGAGAAAGAAATCCCTACAATTAGTAAAATGCAGACAGTTGCGATATCATTGCAATAAAGTATTTAGTCGCTGACTATGGGAATGTTAAATAATAATTCCTTGTTAAAAAATACATACATTGTCCAAAGCTGCTACCGTAAAAACCATGATCACAAAATCATGGTTTTTGATTTGACAATACATACTTTATCAAGATGTGGTCATTTCTAGTTTTATTTTGTCTCAGAATGTTAGTTAAATCAATACATTAGCTGTTGCTACATCCGTAGCTATTCATCCCCATGTCTTGTGATTGCTTCTTATTGACAAACTTAACATTTCAAAAAAAATATTTTTGGGGTATGTGTTCCTCTGTAGGACCTCAAGCCTAGTAATATAGTTGTCAAGTCCGATTGTACACTGAAGATTTTGGACTTTGGCTTGGCTCGGACGGCTGCCACGGGCCTCCTGATGACACCGTATGTGGTTACACGCTACTACAGAGCACCCGAGGTTATCCTGGGGATGGGCTACCAAGCCAATGGTTAGTTGTTATCTGTTTGCTGTGTCTGCCAATCTACAATAACAACCCTTGTTTGTTATGTGCTGATGTTAGACTTTAGAGCAGTGGCACCAGGGACCCACATTAAAAAGAAAAAGACAAACTCTTGCATCTCTACATTTTGAGAGGAGCAAGTTTATATTGTCTTGAATAGGTAAACCAGCCATTTTTATTTTAAAGGATTACCACTTTATGTGTGTTACTGCTGTAGTGGACCAGAAGTCTGTTACCTTTTAAAACCTGTGTTGGATCCATTATAATGCACACACAGGGGCCTGAAGATGACTTGCTGTTTACATTGTGTAACCTGCATGTGGCTTCTGTACATGATGGGACGACGTCCCAACAAACTGCTCATTGACTGACCCCCTTTGTGTAACTAACCTGTTGTTGTGCATCTCTCTAATCACCTTTGTTCACCGTGTTCCACGCCACTAGTGGACATATGGTCTGTGGGCTGCATACTCGCAGAAATGGTTCGCCATAAAATCCTCTTCCCAGGAAGGGACTGTATCCTTGGGTCTTTTTTTTAATTTTTCTTCACTCTCTTAACTTTAACAGTCTTTGTTGAGGGTTTGTGCTTTGTCTTCTGCAGACTAATAGCTCTTTCTCTGGATAGTTAACACAGTATGTTGTGCCAGGCTATAGGGACTTGTCATAACACACCTTTATTCTAAGCTTTCTGCCCGGTATGGACTGTAAACATGTACGTTTTCATTCGCTCGACGCTGCATTGCTCTTTCTCTCATACATCTGGCTGATGCTGCAAGCTCTCATTTTCATGTGAATCAACATCACTGCCCTTCAGTTTGCATTGTTATATGTTTTTGCTTCCACTTTTTTTATTTTTTTTTATTTGACCTCATTGTTTTTGTTTTTGCATGCCCACTCCCCCATCATCTAAACATCTGCCTCCAGTGGACGTATGGTCAGTGGGCTGCATAGTGGCTGAGATGATCAGGGGAAGTGTTTTGTTCCCCGGCACTGATCGTATCCTTCCCCATCATTGATTGATCAGTGCGTCATCACTTCATTATGTGTGACGCCGTCCTGAGAGTTTCCTTCTGCCACATTGCCATTTATTCTCTCAGTTTCTACCACCATTGCTCTGCTGCATCCACGTGTCGTGAGACCGTCAAGCCAAACCAGATGTTAGGTGGTTGAGAAAGTATGTATAATAGTTATGTATTAGCTGCATAGAAATGGAATGATTTCAGTATGTGGACCACCAAAGTAGAGATGTTGATGTGTGCATCTCTCTAAATATTTAAGTCAAGTTGCCCTAATGGTGTGTTACATCTGTGTGAGCGAGAACAGTGTGTTTTTCCTTCACATAAACACATCAGACATCGACCAGTGGAACAAGGTAATTGAGCAGCTCGGCACTCCATCTCAGGATTTCCTCATGAAGCTCAACCAGTCCGTGAGAACGTACGTGGAAAACCGGCCGCGCTACGCTGGGTACAGCTTTGAGAAGCTCTTTCCGGATGTGCTGTTCCCTGCCGACTCTGACCACAACAAACTGAAAGGTGCTGTGCGTTTTCCTGTCACGACCAAAGGCCATTTCAGATCTCCTTCATCAGCTAAATCTGTCGACATGTTGTTAATGGCAGAGCGGGTTGTTTCTTTCCTCAGCGAGCCAAGCCAGAGATCTTTTATCCAAGATGTTAGTGATCGACGCCTCCAAGCGCATCTCCGTGGACGAGGCCCTGCAGCACCCCTACATCAATGTTTGGTATGACCCAGCTGAAGTGGAGGCGGTAAGTGGATCACTGATCGGAGTGCATGATCCTTAAATATCACTTGTGGAAAGTTGGCAACGCTCTTCTGCCACTAATGTGCCATTTAAGCCGTTTTCTCTTCCGCAGCCCCCACCAAAGGTCCTGCACAAACATCTGGATGAGAGGGAGCACACAGTGGAAGAGTGGAAGGGTGAGACAGCACATGAACATTATTAACATGTACTTTATAGTCTTGTAAAAGCACGGGATCTACTGAGAGGTTTCATACAGTAATTGTGATGTGAAAAGTCTGATAACATACTTTTTACCTTTTACAATTTTGTTTTACCACTTTAAACGACTGAGAGTTGTAGATTAAGCAGCAGATGATTTTGCTTTTTGAACCGGCTGATGAGTTAAACGTCTAATATATTTTTATCTAATTGCTAGTTACTTTTAAATCAATCCACTTTAGTTGATACATGTTTGCAATTGACATGTGTTTACGTTGAAACAGAAATGGGCTGCTGGTCAGATTCTATGATTAGCAGATCACCTGCGGTGACTTGATTCTTTTCTATTCATGGAAAGTACACAAGTAAACCATGTCTGAAGAAACCCAGTGTCACTTTCAGTAAATGTGTAAATATGCAGTCAGGTGGTTACAGACGCTGTTGGCCAAGGAGCTCTGTATCTCCACCAGTTAGCCAGAAGGTCTGCTGCATGACTCTCAACCCCCCTTTTGAAGCCTCTCCAGTGTCTTCCACTGTGGGGAACCTGATTCTTTGGAGCATGCTAGGACTTCCAATAATGAGTAAATATCACTTTCAGTTGAGCACCAGGATGAGCTCATCCTAACCCCTGCCAGGTGATAATGACCGTTCACTCATTTTTAGAAGAGTCACCAGCAAAGCCTGTCCAAGCGAGGAAACATGATGCTTTTCAGACTGCACAGTATGCAATACCAAGTGAACTCTACAGATACAAGTTTACGACCTGCTGTGGTATTTAAATTGCTGGATTCTCGCAGTCTCACTTGCCTCACTTAACCTTTTTTTCTCATCTTTAACTTTTAGTGCTAATTTATAAGGAAGTGAGCGAATGGGAGGAGTGGAAAAGAAATGGCGTGATAAGAGGCCAGCCGCCTCCTTTAGGTGAGTAATCTTCATAACTTAGGTAGATGAGAAGGTTTGGGGAGGATAACTAGTGAAACACATGATGGGTGTCTTTCAGAGGCTTGGCGTGAGTCTGAGTTTAAGATTGAATAACAAAAGGAACTTATTACTGTTTATTTTACACACATTCACTGAATACGTCATATATGCGCTAGGTTAACTCTGGTATAAATGTGGTTAAAAAGTTATAAATCATATATTTCAAGTACATTGTAAACGTTGTAGTGAAGCATAAATTAGAAATGTGGGCATTCAAGTTATAATATTCCACTAATAAAGCTGTATATTTTATGGATAAAGCCATACAATGCTTAGAATAAAATGTAAATGTAGATATTTTCAGACTAAAGCAGTAACATTTCCAGAATAAAATTGTTTTGAATTCCGCCTCTTCTGACAGGCAAGTCAAAGCTTTTCTGGTTTGCAGCACTGTGTAGATCTGCATCGGTCGCGTGTATATCAATGAAACCTATGCGTTGACGTGTGTTTTTCGCAGCACAGGTGCAGCAGTGATTGACAGCCCCCCTCAGCCCACGTCGTCCTCCTCTTCTTCGGCCAACGATGTCTCGTCCATGTCCACCGAGCCTACTGACGCGAGCAGTGACCCCACCATGACCTCTGAAAATGACAGCAGCTTGGACAGCCACACCTCTCTGGGTGCGCTGGCCTGCTGCAGATAACGCAAACATACAATACATGTGTGTGTACACACACACACACACACACACACACACAAAAAGCGAACCTCTCCTCATCGGTGTATGTGATAGGAGAGAATTTAAGCCAATTTCTAACTAACTTCTCATGTTAGTTTGTAGAGCTGCGCTTTTAATGTACAGTTTGTTTTTATTTCCCCCTCCCCTTATACTGCTGTAAATTATTGTGGTTTGGAATTGTATCATTATTACTGTATTTTTTCAGCAAAGAATCAGAGTATGTTATGATGTGAATCTGTGATGTGTGTTACGAGAAAGAGGGATTGAAGTGTACTTTACACGTTGCTGTTTTTAGCTGCTGCTACACAGTCTAATACCACAGTTAGCACTGCAATATTATGTTGAATATATTTTTTTGAATTCTCCGTTTGGTATTTTTGTTTTGATTTCGGTACATTTGGGTAAATCTACACAAATTCTCTTTTTAACATTAGAAAATTGCGCACTTCACCTGGGACCCGATTGCACTGAATGATTTTATTTTGATATTGTTCTTCATCTTTCTTGTAGAAAGCCTCCTCTGGTGTATCAAAGTTACCTTACTTCTTAGTATTATGTCACCTTTTTGACTGCGTGCATCTTGACAAGCGGTCAAATTGTCTATTTCCCAGGACACTGAATTTCTTTTTTACTATAGCGTACTATTAACTGACCGTGTTTGAACTTGTTTAGTATCTTGGATGTAATTTGTATGCGATGGTCTGTTTGATGAGGAAGAACAGGGTGAATGTAACCGAGTAGAAGTGTGGCGTAGTCCGGAGCCAGTGATAACCGTTAGCGCTGTAATATTTTAATGTAGGCCACTCCACTGGCTAGAATGAGTTCTGTATTTGGAGACTGTCCCCAGAGACTAAGTCTAGATGAGTCACCTTACCCCTTTGGCAGGTCCTTTCAGACATTATTCACAGCTGTCTGATATTTTACATATTTATTTTAAGTGCCCTTACTCCGTTCAATGATTTTCAGTCCTCTCTGTTGCAGATGCTTCTGTAATGCGTCTTTCCGAGTTCTAACTGAGTTCTACCTCACACGTCTGTAGATACAGTATGCATATCATGGCACGCATCGTTCATAATAGGGGGGGAAAAAAGATACTTTTTTTTTTCTGCATTTGCTTTAATCATTTATTTATTTATTTATTTCCAGGTAGGATTACTATTGTATTTAATGTACATTTCATTCAGAATTACTATTTATATGCATTTTGTTTCATTTTTTGTGCAATATAATTCATAGATTAATATAGTCAGTGATTTTTATTGTAGATGAGGAAAGCTGCATTGGCTATGCGCCATGGTAACCTTTTAGATGTATTTGATGGCTCAAATTCCCAACCTGTCGCTTTGCCCTTTTCATGGTTGGGCACTCCAGGCAGCAACTCCTAGCATCAGCTCCCAGAATGCACTTTGGCGATTGTTAGACATCTCCACACTCGTTCTGAGCAACAATCTCAACTGACTGTTGTGGCTTCCCTTTGTGTCATTTCCTCTCCTCCAAACCCCTCAAAAAAAGAGAAAAGATAGAATAGACTACGCATGAGTTTTCTCTGAGCAAATCTGTTTTTTTAGTGTAGGGTCATTTAAGGGAAAGATGGGAAAGCCATCCAACACTACTGGCATGATACGGCAGTCTTCTGATGCTTTGTTGGCAAAGAGTTGACCTGGTTTGTGTGTTTTGATCGGGCCGGCTGTGCGAAGTTCAGCTGTGCATCTGAAATGGCTTCACTAACAGACCAATTATATACATGGAAAATGAAAACTGTCTACCATCAACTCCAGCAAATAAAACTCGTAGAATTTTAATGTCTCACATTGTTCTTTCTTTTACTATCAAGTTAACATTTCCTTTGAGAATATGAACGGGGTGTATGGGAAGACACCCACCTCACATCATCAGCTAGTCCTGTTCGTCTCACTGTTCATAAATAATCAGCTACATGTCAGATGAGGTATAATAGTAAGGAATTTTGCAGAATGATGATTGCTTAGTCCCGAGGAGATCTCGTTTTGCACCGGCACTGTACAGTGTAGGCACAAGACGGCTGTACTAAAGAGGAAAAGATGGCAAGTAGTACTCCACTCCAGGTATTTGGTCTTCAAAGCTGTCCAGCTAACTGGTAGTTCAAGCTCGTATTTCTCCTCCTCCAATGAACCAGATGAAGGCAGGTTGGTCTCATCTAGTTGGTCCTTGTTGCTCCTGTGGTCAGATCTCCGAGGGTCTTGAAGAACTCCTCCATTTCTTTCTGGAGGAGAATGTTTCGGTTCTCTGCGTCTTGATGTGCCCTCTCCGAGTTCCTGAACCGGATCTCCAGCATGTGGAACTTCTTTTTCTCCTGGTCCAGCTCCTCCTCAAGGCGGTTTACCTGGGACTGGTACTCAGATAAGGACTCCTCCAATCTCCAAAGAAGAGAAGCAGAGGTTATTTTAGCTAATTTTAATAGGTTATTTGACAGAAAGTGAAAAGTGTCTCATTCTTACTTGCGAATGCAGGTCTCGTTGCTTGTCCTCTGTTCCTTCAGCTCCCGCTTGAGCTCGGTCAGCAGGCTAGTCAGACCTTCATTTGTACCTTTCTCAGGACTTTTTGCGCCGTTGTCCAGGGGACCTGTACTGTCTCTCACCTCTGTGGGTCTCTCTTGACCCTGCCCTAATTTCACTGCCGAATCGCTTCCCTCTGGCTCGGCCAACGGGATCTCAAAGGAAGTCCAAGGGGAGGACGTGTCAGCAGGAAGGCTCAGACTGGAAGGGGCGACATTTTCATATGCCGACAGTCTGTGTGACTGGAGGAGGGCCCTGTGATACAGGGGTGTTGGAGAGGAGTCTTCATCAGAGTGTCTCTGTGTATCCTTAGTTGGAACGGTGGTCTCTTTAAGGGAGAGGGTCGAATCCTTCATAGTGGCGTCTCGAAGTCTTTCCCCAGATGAGGTGGTGCGCTTGTGAGCTCGAAGGGACGACAGGCCATTGATCAGCCAATTGCTCCCACCAGCCGCTGACACATCGCCCGCCGACCCCCCCACTTTCCCCCGCTGCCCCCCAGATGCTGCACCTCCTTTGAAGCTGCTCCTCCAGGTGGGCGAAGCTTTAGACTGTTTGCTGGGGCTAACGGGTGCCTCACTTCCCCCTCTGGCTTCAGTCTTGCTATCTGCTTGTCCATCCACTTTCTCTTCAGTCATACCTTGGCCCCTTTCTTCAATTAGACCATCCTCACCCTTCTCTGACCTTGTAATGGGACTCGGTACGGTTGGCTTACTGTCTTTAGAAGGGGTTGAAAGTTGGGGTTCCTCTTTGGGGGATTTGGAGGCCAGGGAGTCTTCCACTGAGAGCCATTCCACTTTGCACCGTTGGATAGGACTCAGTTGCTTTGGCGGAATCTTAGTTTCTGTTTTGACCTCCTCCCTTTGGTAAAGTTTAGTGTGTTCACTGATCAACACAGTCATGAGGTGCTGCACCTGCGTGCTTCCTGTTCATAATGACAAACGTATGCAATCAAAATATTTCACGTCATTGTTCATGATGATAATGAGTTTGTGCCAAAAATTGTGCCGCAGTTTGTTAACATCATCACAAACCCTCCATCATGGCAACTGGATCCTCCACCCTGGGCCGAAGGATATTTGGTCCAAACACAGTGGCCAGATTCTGAACACTCATTTTATTCTCACTGGAGTGAGATTGAACCTCGTCCAGAAACCTGAGCGGGACAAACCAAAATCCGACATTATTTCCACATTTTATGTAAGATCGACAGTGTAGAAGCCCCTTGTTTTTTATCCACTTATAGAAAATGAGAACTGAGTCACCAGCTGAAGGTATTTTAATAGATGCAGAAGGCTGAAAAGACGTGCAATTATGAACACTCAGAGTCAATCACTGTGATGCCACTTCCCCCGATGACGTGGGATGTGGGTGCGATGAATGTCATTCTTCTTGTATGACAGGCTGACAGTTAATGGGAAAGCAGCAGAAAGAATAAAACCCCAAAACACATCAGTGGGCTTAACAACTGCTGTTATACGGCAAGATGACAAAACAGTATGGACTTACTTGCAGATGTACGTAAGGAGGTTGTTGTTGACCTGAGGAAGGGATTTCACCTGTTTGCCTAGCTCCACTTTACCCTTGAAACAATAAGACATGTTTATTAATGAGGCAGAAGTTTGCAAATATACCTTTTAAAGTGTTGAGCAGACATGTGATTACCATTGCTTTGTCCTTGGTAAGAAGCTGAGCACAGGAGAGAAACTGTGTGTATTTGGAGAACGGGATTATGGGCTCTGGCAGCTCCCGTATGTACAGTTTTAGCAGTGATGCCACTGTGTGGACATCAGTGGTACTGTGGGAGACAGGAAAACATACAGCACTGGCCTGCACAGATTATAGTTTAGCATGAAAATGCCCACTCCCACTGCGTCACCTGTCAAACACTGGCTTCTCGCCACGGTCGAAGGCATCTTGCAGCTCGCGAACATGATTGGCCTGTCCAGGGGCCCTAAAAAGGCCCTCCTCCTGGAGCCCATGTTCACGTATGAAGCACACGCACTGTTCGACCAGCACAGGGACCAGTCGCTGAGGGCCACACTGGGCCTCGTACAACATTGTCTCCTCGAGGTGCTGCCCAAAGACGCCTGCAGCCACACAGAAAATCAACACCTTTCAGGTTAGTAATTGACAGAGTGTCTCATCATCTGTATCGTTTAAATAAGACATTTGCTTAATACGAGGGATGTACTCTGTGAACATTTGTGTATAGATGTGGGTAAGGATCACACCTCCTCCAAGAGGAGCCCATATGACTCTACGAATGGCTCTGACCCAGTCCTCCATGTCACTCTGAGAGTTGGCCATTAGCAGGAATGATTCGTGGCTGAGGCCAGTTCGATCCTTTTCTCCGGCCACTCCTGACAACACAAACATATTTTATCACCTCCTGGATCCGCAGGAAAAAGTGACTCACACACTGCAAAGCCACAGTCCTTTAATTATATTGAATCGGACGGAGCACAAATTAATTGTGTCATTTGTAAAGAAGTCCGTTCTACTCGGTTTTTCAAATGACCTTATTAACTCCGGCACCCCTGCAGAGTACAAAGACGCAGCCATGTAGCTCTGCCTCTCTGCCTGCCTCCTGCACACAACTTGACACCAACTGGTTTGACATTTCGGTCGATTTTAGCTTACCATTCATTACACTATGTGAAAATATCTACCTTAATGCAACTTTGCAGTCAGTTGCGTTTGAAGGGCTGGAAGCACTACTCAGTTTCAGATGGAGATAAAAGCATCAAAGCTGCTATTCATAACATGTTCTAACATCTTTCTACTGATGAAAATCTTTTTAGTTTAACTTGGGAAAATATTTCAGATTTGCTTTTGTGTAAAATACAATGTAATTTACTAACTACTAACTAAACATGCTTCAGCATCACTTGAACAGTAGGCCTACATGTTGTACATGTTGACTTGCTTACACACAGAGTGTTCACTGCGCCAACTCACCTGGAACAATTTCAAAAGGGTGACGACCAGGCTCATCCTGATTGACGGGCAGCTCATTGACCTGACTGCCCTGAAGAGGAATACAACCCTGAAAGGGAAAGAGAGGCATGCATGAGGAAAACACCTGCATCCACGGCCAAACTATAAATCAATTAGTGGTTGTGGACGTGTTGTGCATGTTAGAGAGTTAGAGTACATCAAGCTCTGGGCATTTATCCAACAGACGCAGGCGAAGAGGATGTAGGGGATGACTCAGGGAAACATCTATTTATCCCTTTGGCACTTCTCGTACTGTGTAGTTCTGATCCCTTCACTGCGAAGCGGGTCAAAGGTCAGCAACTAAGTGCTTACCGCAGAAGCACAGGGCAAGTTACTACATTCTCATTGTGTGTGTCAGGGCAATAACCACACACCACTGCTCTAATAGAAAGTGCTGTGATGACTTAGGGCGATGATTTTTGTGTGAAAGATGATTAAATATTGATCCAGCTTTAGTTTCTCTTAAAAAATAATGAAATAATAGAAAAATATAGTCATAATGCTAAAAGGGTTTAATTTTATTTATGGGCAGGAAAATGTATTTCATGTATCATTTCATTTTAAATAATCAACTATTTTCAGAGTTGGAGAACACGCAATGGATCGGATGGCCCTGTGGGAAAAACTATTCAGTAACATAAAAAAACGCATGTACGCATCACCTGTGCCTTGGTTTCATCCTGGTCCTTGTAAAAATAAAGAGCTTCGGTCCTCAGAACGAACCAGCGCAGCTGCCAGTTTTTCATGATGCTCCGCTGTCTCTTGAGCCAGCCGGCCTTCAGGGCCTTGTCCTGGTCCTGAGGAGAGCAGGGCCTGGAGACCCGGGACAACTCTCCTAGCACCATGCTCTTGGAGCGCGCTGCATGGACACACACGTAGAGATACAGTGAGGGAAAGGGCGGCTCGCAGAGACAGAGAATTCATGTTGCTTTGGGATTTTCTGTCTTTGTTTTTGCTATTGTTCAAAAAATTCACCCATAGAAGTATCTCTTGGGTGCAGCTAAGCCCACAGGCTTGACCATGCACCCAGATTCCCTCCTAAGTCAATAAACCAACGAATGGCATCCGTTTTGAAGAAAAGGCATCCGGTTTAAGATCAAATTCATCCATCTGTGGTAGCGTTGTGAACGCAGCTTTCAGGCTGATTACTCCCCAAACAGTTCTCTATTTAGGGCCAGCATACAGGAGGCACCTGTTGCCACGGCCACACTGCCTTCATGCCCCTGTCCTGTGGTTGTTGAGTATAAACATATGTACCGTATAAATGTGTAAACAGTTTTGCTTTCGATCAGGCGGCACTTTAACTGCTGCCTACTGATCACAAGCATGGCTGATATATTGGCGTGTATGAAAGGTATGGAGTTAAAACGGCGACGGCAGAGGGATCCCGCGGGATAGAGATCAATGTCTTTTCTGTTAATTGCCTCTTGCTTTCTGCTGAGGACAGCAGTGAGGGCATCTGCAAGGGCCGGGGCTGAAATATCTCTAGCTTGCTTATCAGCTCTCTGTCTGCATCTCTTATATGTCTTCCCTTTTTGGATGTCCTTCATTTGCAGTTGTGATTGCTGGGAAGAGAGAGGACTAGAGAGCACGTAAAGAAGTCATTAACAAAACTCTATGCTGACAGCAAGTGCAGAGAGCCGGATCTATAAATACAGCAGACGTGGCCATGTTGTTAATGTCCTTAAAGAAGACGCAGGACTTAGAAGAACTGGGGTTTTGATCTACTGTCCTCAGGCAACACACGTACGAGGATCAAATTGTCATTTTTTTCAGGAAATAAAGAAACAATATTGTACACTTATGGGCTTCATGATGATCAGAGATGAAGGCACAAACTAAAAATACTCTTACATGTGAAAGTTATGGATTCAGTTATTGTGTTAAGTAAAAATATTAGCAAATGTCTTTGAAGTGAAAAAAGTATAAATAAAGCAAATGGCTCCTGTGATAAATAATATCTATTGAGTTATCTATACAGTAGATGCATCAATCTGTTAGCAGGGGTACTACTCGGCAACTCATTATTATTATTATTATTATTATGATTATTCATGACTTCAACCATATTGTCATTTGTCAAATATCAAATTGGCCTCTCACAATCAATGAGAAACCTTAATAACCACAGGAATGTTTTTACTACCTGTAAGATACAGTTTAAATGTAGGATTCAGCGGTGATTAAGCTTCTGAGAGCAGTGCATAATATTTTCTAAAATGTATCTTGTAACTATTAAAAATACTGAATAAAGGTACAGTAGTAGAATAGTCTAAATCTAAAGTTGAATACTTGAGTCATCTTATTTCATCTAATTTAGAGTGTAGGTACTCATTACATACCTATTAGGAAAATGGTCCTAGTCAGTTTTACATTATGATTAATTAATGCATCACCGTATCATCCTGCTGTTATGTTTAGATGCAGTGGAGCAAATTAAGACTACTTTATTTACTGTAGAGTAGGCTTCACATTTTGTGTAGCCTACCTGTAAAATTGTTAATAAAGCAGCAAAAGATGTTTATTAATTAAATTATTCAACTACTATTAGAATGATCCATCTTATTAGACTACTATAATAGTTTATCAAAAATCTACATATGAATTGCACTATACTCTTGGTATTTTTTCTCATGGTATTTTTGCTTTCATTTCTCGACTTTCAGCACATGTTTTATTCAAATGTCCTCATGTGGACATTTAATCAGCCACACAGATAATGAGAGGAGCCTCGTCCACAGCTCAGAGTTTTACTGATAATTTCCCTTTAGGACTAAACAACTGCCCTGAGATTCGGCTGTCATTTCAGCTTCTGATTGCAGATCCAGCTCTGTGATACTGTATGCTGCTGCATAAAAGGGTCAGAGGAAAGTACAACTGGAAATCTAATCAAAGGAGAAACCCATTACAGCAAATGCAAGATTGGAAGCGAACAAGATGAGGAAAGCGAAGTAAAGTGACTACTGCACTCTGTGCTCATGAAGGAGAAAGAGGAGGCATTTGTCCTTCCCATCATCTTTTATGGTCTTACTTTTATTGCTTGTCTGAAATAAGACGGCTGCTAATACTAAAAACCAATGCCAGTTTCCTGAAGGTTGACCACTGTCAATATGAACCACCTGAAACAGTAGCCTCCACCAGCCATGACGAGAACAGCTGTACTCATGATAATCTCCGTGCCAGGAGTCGTTCATGTGATTTATGGCTCCCTTATTCATCTTCACACAGTCATGTGATTGGCATCGATGTTTGGCGTCCCAACATCGGTCGGTCACCATCGTTTTTTTTACCTGCCGGTAAAAGAACTATGTTTCGCAGTCAGCTGTTGCAAAACCTGCATTCTTTTCATCACCTCTTTACAAATGCGGCCACTTGTTTGGATGTGAAAGCGTCCTAATGCAGACCATTGTTGGAGGGCGGATCATCTTTTACTACAACCCACTGTGTCCCCCCCCCACCAGGTTCAAATCTTTTATGAATAAACGAGGGATGACATCACTCTGTAGTAGAGCCGGTCAACTCTCAATGAGAGCCGGACATGCAAGACAAAGCCTCAAGATTTCAGATCATACAAGAAAACTCAGGTCACTGCTGACAACAATGGTCACTTTGATGCAGAATTACGCCGGTGCTTGTCTTGCACTCCTCCACCTCTTTATCAATGAAAGTACATCGATATTGATGTCACATTATTACAAAGAGAGCGAGACAAATGGAGCTCTGTGGAGACAGAGAAAGAGGGTGAGAAATGGAAGAGGGACTGCAGGAAAAAACGAAAGAAGCATGAAAGGAGCGAAAAGAGATGAGGGAATGGAGAAAGAGGAGGAGGGACTGCGCTTACCCCGGCGTGCCTGTTTTATCTTGGGGCTCAGCATGGTTACCGTTGCTGTGCTGCTCCGGCTCACAGAGACATGACTGCATCGCTCTCCTCACACACTAGTCCTCACACACACACACACACACACACACGCAGACACACTGATTGCCTCACGCTGCTGCCTCGCCCTGTTACTCTTCATCCTCTCTGAGCATCTCTCTCCCGGGCTCACTGTCTGATTTCCCCTCCACACACACACACACACACACACACACAAGCACTTAACCCCACATCTGGTCTTCCTACCCCTCCTTTCTTTTGTCTCACGTCCTCCCCCCCCCCACCCTCCCTCAGTCTGTCCCAACAGCCCGGCGTGCTGTTGTTCTCGTGTACTGTACCTAGATCCCTGCCCACTCTCTCTCTCTCTTTGCTATCTGCCTTCTGCTGCACTCTCAGTATCAATTTCTCACCGTCTATAAATATGTCCGACAGCGTGTCCTCTGTCTTGTCATCCATTTCTTTACTTTGGCTGTCGTAATCGCTCCGCGGTCTTCACCAACCCTCTGGCCGTTTGCTCATGGAGATTTGATTATGCTCTGTACGTAAAGTACAACCTCAGATCAATACATTTGATTTCACTGACATCATTTGTACCACTAAATGCCTGACAAAACTTAACTGTACGCCAGTCATATTTAAATTCATAACTCTTTCAGGCTAAGACTTTCAGTCTGAAAGGGAATGTCTCTGTACTCAACATGTGTATAATTCTTGTTTCCATTGTTTTGTAGAGGATGTGATAAAGCAGATTCCTTCTGCAATTCAAGAGGCGGGATGAGACTGAAATGCAGGACCGGGACACCACTCACTGAGCTTTTTCATAAGAAATGAAAACTTGTTCAACTCAAACGTTAAGATCAAGAACAAATAGCACTAAATAAAGGCTCTATAAAAGAGTAGTAATGCACTCCTTGTAACATGACATTAATCGGAGATAAACTTTATATGAGAGCACAAAAAAACCACAAAGTTCAATCTGAAAACAATACACATAATCACCCGGCTTGATACAATAATCATAATTGCAAACTAAAAGAGAGCTTTACCTGACAATAGCTGTGGTTTGTCACTGGTCAGAAGAGCCCTGGATGGCAGTGGACCCGTCTGCACAGTATGTCCTCTCCTCTGAGGCCATGTCTTCAGCCACAAAACACACACACGATCTAAACAATGACAATACGGAAACCTCACTCCTCTGCTGGATTGATTAATCAAATCAAATGTCATTCACATACCCAAAGAGAAAGAACTATTGTTGCTGCCCATCAGTAACACACCAATTAGAGAAGAATGCTGATGTGAACGGACTCTTGTTAGACGGAAGGAAATAAAGAATGTCATGCGAGTATTACTTGCCATGTCATCTCGTATGGGCAGACCAGACGACTCTCAGCCTGGAGCCAGACGCTCTGCGTTACACAAGAAAGAGTCGCAGTCTCAAGCAGTTGCCGTTATAGCCGCTGCCTTTACAGGGGAATAAAACATGGCAGCACAATGATCTGCTGCTGCTGTCTTTCTCTGGATTGTTCAGTCTGCCTCTCACTGAGGAAGTGAGTTGTCTTGATGGAGAAGTGAAAACGGCTGACTTCTGTGTTGAAGATATTGAACGTTCCTCCTTCAGATGTTGTTACTGTAACATTTCAAGTTCAATGCCCTGGCTGTTAGTGCTTTGACAATGTAAATCAGGAGGACTAGTCACTTCCTTAACGGTGTGTTTTTCTCATCCAGTGGTGTAGTTCTGCTCCTAAATACAGTTTTGAAATTCTTGAGTACTTACATTTTATGGTACTTTATACCAAAAATATTGTGCTTTTATCACTTTTATGTTTGAGGTTTGCTTTTTTAGCACAAAACACATAATAGACTGTCATGAAATCATGCAGTACTATATTACTACTGTATACAAAGTATCGGAAATTGGCTCCACATTTACAAACTGCAAAATTGAAATGCTTAATTTGTGATGGAAACTTACTAATAAAACATCATAAAATAAGACAAAAGGAAGAGGGACATTTTCATGGCAATAATGTGTTTACTTTTGACACTTACAGCACATCATGAAGTTAATACTACTGTGCCTTTATTGAAGTAAATGTTTTGAACTTGGGTCTATTTTTTTTAATGCTATTTCTACCTTTTCCAGGTTAAACAATAAACTCTATTCATTTCAGTAATGTTTTTTATTCAGCATAAAAGCATTTTGGCACAGATCGGGTATTATCTTGGAAACCGAAAGACATTGTGTATCCACAGATAAAATACATTTGTACATTTAAAATATAATCGGCTCGTACATACAACAACACTGAAAAAGAGTAACAGCCGTCCCAAGCTTACATGCGCTCATCTTAACCGCTCCATATGCGCGACAGGCAGTACAATAGACACTAAATGGTATCACGTGACGCAGCCTCTCACATAGTCCAGACACACCGGCCTGTGAGGGATGCGGAGAACATCATCTATAATTTAGAAAAATGGTCCTGAGGGAAACAGAGGAAATGAGTGAGTTTAATTGAAGACACAAAAAGAGTCTCATTAGTGAGAGCAGAGGAAGTGTCGTGGCTCAAATGACCGGGAGCAGGTCAGAAAGGTAATTACATCACGTCAGGAACAAAGTCTTTGCATGAACTTATCAGTAACCATTATCACCAATCCTACACAACTTTGAACAATGCTTTTACACACTAAAAAAATGTAACTTAAAAAGAATGAAGCCGATTGTGACAAACAGGTGTAAATGTGAGCTTTCATTCAGAGGTGTTCGCTGCTAAAACACAGTTCCGTAATCAAGAACTTCACCACACAGAACGTTTTACACCAACAAGTTCGTTGGAACACTGATATCTTCAAAGTATTCTGTGAGGTTTCTAAAATCTAGGCGGGCTATTATTCTGCTAGCCACACATCTGATGACTAATCTATTCTGTAGACCGCTCTATATTAAAATAGAATATTGAGAAATAACCAAATTTCACCAACATGTTTACACATTAGATTAGAGACTCGGTGAAGCGAGTGAGCAATGACACTAACAACTGGAAATTATACCAACATTTTCAAATATCTATGGCAGCCTTGTCCGCTCTCAATTGCCCTCTTCCCACACGTCTTCGACCCTCCAGAAGATACGACAGCACTATAACCCAGCGCTGTCCCAGGGACCTCTGCCGCGCCGAGCTCTCGCACTGTCTGAAGTACGTGGTCGTTCCGGTGGCGACGGCGTCAAACTGCTCAATCAGTAGCCACACCTCCCAAAGCAGTGTTAGTGCATTCATCACCACCATGACAACGACCCAAAACTCCTCCCCGAACAACGTCAGCCACAGCGAAAAGCTGCGGTTGCCCACGGGCATCTTGCCGTACAGGTAACTCGTCGCTGTGGCAACAAAAAGCAGGTGGGCAATCCCCATGGAGAAGATGAAGAAGAGGAAGAGGCGGTGGTTCCCGCGGCCGACGCATCGGTTGAGGAAGAGGCAGTGGTGGTCGTAGTCTTTGATGCACATCTCGCACAGCTTGCAGTGTTTTGTGTAGTCGGGCGGAAACATCTATGAGGAAAGCAAAGAAATGACAGAAAGTGTGCACACACACACACACACACACACACACACACACACACACACACACACAGGAGAAGGGCCGTGTGTACGTTTTTTAAACCGATAATGTGATATATAAATAGATAAGGCGCTATGCAGAACACCACACCCGTGCAAACATCTTACCTCACAGTATGGGCAGAACCTGTGAGGGCTCTCGTTGTTCTCCACCAGGTCAGCGATGCAGGAGAACCGAGGATCTGCCTCGGCTCTGCACAGTGCCCCAGGGTCCTGAGTCATGACCTTGCAGAACAAAACGAGGACTACGGAGAAGTGGACCATTGACGCGTGGACCAGAGCACTCTCTGACCACACATCTTCAAGAGGTTAAGGATGAATACTTGATATTTAATTGACAAAATCCTAAAATAGATTTACCTGACTATGTGTATTTGGGTGAGCAAAGGAACTATGAGGGCTCTGTTTTCACAAGAAAGCTAGTATCCAAAATACTAATGTTCTCCTTGGGGAGGATGGACCGGTTGTCACACCTGTATGTCAAGTTGCGTTTTTGTCCTGTCTCCAGTTGTTTTTTGACTTCCTGTTTTATTTTGGAAACTAACTCCCTCTCGTTTCAGGTCCCTTGCCCTTCCTCATGTGTCACCAGTCTGATTGTCTCCCCTGATTCCTGATTGTGTCCACCTGTTCCCACAACTCCCTCATGGGTACTTATAGTCTGCGTCGCCCCTTGTCCTGTGCCAGTGTGTCTTGTTGTTTTGCCCTGCACACCAGCCCTCACGTCACGAGTCAAGTCAAGTCCGATAACGTTTGTCACGTCCTTTTGATCCCTGTTACGTTTCCTCGTTTAAGAGAGATTTTGAGTTTTTGCCTTTTGAATTTTGATCTCAACCTTTTTCCTCATTAAGAGAGATTTTGAGTTTTTTCCTTTTGAACTTTGATCGCAACCTTTTTCCCTCATTAAGAGAGATTTTGAGTTTTTTCCTTGTTATTAATAAAAGCAATATCAGCTGAACCCTCTGCGTCCGAGTCCTCCTCCTCCCTGCTTGACAGTACACACTGGCCAGAATGGACTCGGCAGAGAAGGACCAGCTGACGGAGGCGCTGCGCGCTCAAGCATCAAGACTGGCGCAGCATGAAGACCTTGTTGCTGACCTCGATCGAGGGGTTCGGGGACTTGCTCAAAGCCAGGAGGGGTTTAAGACTGCCATGACCACGCAGGTGGGACTCCTAAACAGTCAGGTAGAACAAATTCTCACCTTGCTCTCCAGGAACCCCGCGGCTTCTCCCGAACAACCCCCCACGCCGTCTGAGCCCCCTCCCGTAGCCACACCAGCAGATGCGTTCACGAGGCTGGCACCTCCGGAACGATACTCCGGAACCATCGGACAAAGTAGGTCCTTCATCATTGAATGTGAAATACACTTCGAGCACTCTCCGATGCACTTCCCCACAGAACGGTCCAAGGTTGCCTTCATGATGTCCCATCTCACGGGAAGGGCCAAGGCATGGGCCACCGCTGAGTGGGCTAGGAGTTCGGCAGTTTGCTCATCACCAAAGAAGTTTGCCGACGCTCTCAGACTTGTTTTTGACCCTGTGGCAACAGACCGAGAAAGGGCTCGTGAGCTCAGTCAGATAAAGCAAGGTGGACAGTCCGTTTGTGAATACGCCATACGTTTTCGCACCCTGGCGATGGAGAGTGGGTGGAACCCCACGTCCCTCTACGATGTTTTTCTGAGAGGGCTCTCCGACCAGATCCAGGACCTCTTGGTCCCATTGGACCTGCCTCTGGACCTCGATTCCCTCATCGCCCTCGCCATCCGCACCGACAACCGCCTACAGGAACGGAGGCGGCAGCGTGGGCCCAGAGGGACACCCGCTGCACCTGGCTCTTCCCCGACGCTCTGGGGCGCCGCATCGCGTCAAACCTCCCCTGAGCGACTCTCAAGAACCCGTGCCGGAGGCGAGGAGGAGCCCATGCAGATGGGGAGGGCCCGGCTCTCTCAAGAGGAACGACAGCGACGCTACCAGGAGGGCAGATGCTTTTACTGCGGCGAGCGTGGCCACCTCATCACCGCCTGTCCAGTAAAGGCCAACCAGTCGGTGAGTCAAGTCGCCGAAGTTACTCCTACTCCACGCCGATTGACCACAGTGAGGATTAAGCACCGGGATAAGGACCTAGAGCTGGGGGTATTGATTGACTCAGGGGCAGATGAGAGCCTAATCGACTGGGGGTTAGCACAAAGACTGGGGCTTCGGGTTGACCCGTTGAGTAAACCGGTTAAAGCGAGCGCACTTAATGGAAGTGCGTTGTTCACTATAACCCATGTTACAGAACCGGTGGAGCTTCGCATCACCAATCACTGGGAGCGCATACAGCTGTATTTAATACACTCACCTCTGCACCATCTCATCCTCGGGTTCCCATGGTTAATTCATCACAACCCACACATAAACTGGCGCACCGGGGACATTATGGTATGGGGGGAGGGTTGTAGGACCCAATGTCGGGAATCATGCCCCCAAGGGAAGAACCCCACGCTAAACCGTGTCGTCACTCACCCTGTCACAGACTCGGAGATCACTAATCTGACTCAAGTTCCAAGCTGCTACCACCACCTCGCTGAGGTTTTTAGTAAGAGCAAGGCCACAGCTCTACCACCTCATCGCCCGTTCGACTGCGCCATTGACCTTCTGCCCGGCTCCACCATCCCGAAGGGCCGTCTTTACTCTGTTTCCGGGCCCGAGAGGCAGGCCATGAAGGACTACATCGAATCCTCCCTGAGGGCGGGGTTGATCCGACCTTCCTCGTCCCCAGCAGGGGCAGGTTTTTTCTTTGTGGGAAAAAAGGATGGAACCCTTCGCCCCTGCATTGACTACAGCCCGCTTAACGACATAACCGTTAAGAACAGATACCCTCTACCTCTCATGACCTCAGTATTCGACCAGCTTCAACAGGCGCAGATTTTTACCAAACTGGACTTACGCAACGCCTATCACTTGGTTCGCATTAGGGAAGGGGATGAGTGGAAAACGGCATTCAACACGCCGTCTGGACATTATGAATACCTGGTCATGCCCTTTGGTCTCACAAACGCCCCAGCAGTTTTTCAAGCGATGATAAACGATGTGTTAAGAGACTTTTTAGACCAGTTTGTGTATGTGTATTTGGATGACATTCTGATTTATTCCCCCGACCTAAACACCCATAGGAACCATGTTGAACTCGTCCTGCAACGTCTCTTAGACAACGGGTTATATGTGAAGGCGGAGAAGAGTGAATTTCATGCCGATACTGTCGCCTTCCTGGGCTTTATCGTAGCCCCTGGGAGGGTTCAGATGGATCCGGCTAAAGTAAGCGCGGTAGTAGAGTGGCCAACTCCTGATAGCCGCAAGAAGGTACAGCAATTTCTCGGTTTTGCTAACTTTTACAGGCGGTTTATCAGAGGCTTCAGCGCGACAGCAGCCCCGCTCCATGCTCTTACCTCCCCGCAGGTGGCGTTTCACTGGTCCGCCGAGGCAGACGCGGCCTTCCAGGAGCTTAAGCGGCGCTTCACTACAGCACCCATCCTCACGCTCCCTGATCCGGCTCGCCAGTTTGTGGTGGAGGTGGACGCCTCCAATAATGGGATCGGGGCCATTCTCTCCCAGCGAGCAGAGTCTGACAACAAGCTTCATCCGTGTGCCTTCCTGTCGCGACGACTAACTGCAGCGGAGCGGAACTACGACGTGGGAGATCGTGAGCTGCTGGCAGTGAAGGCGGCGCTGGAGGAGTGGCGGCACTGGCTCGAGGGGGCACAGCACCCTTTTTTGGTTTGGACAGACCACAAGAACCTGCAGTACATCAAGAAGGCCAAGCGTTTGAATTCCCGTCAAGCCCGCTGGTCCTTGTTTTTTAACCGTTTTGATTTTTCCCTTTCCTACAGACCGGGATCAAGAAATACCAAGCCTGACGCCTTATCCCGTCTTTTCAGCCCGGAGCCCGTGGCCAGGGAACCTGAGCCCATCCTCCCACTACACTGTGTGGTTGGAGCGGTTACCTGGCCTATAGAGACCAAGGTGAAGCAGGCCAACGGTGAGACCCCCCCACCTCGTGGGTGCCCAGATAATCGTCTGTTTGTCCCTGTTAATCTGCGCCCACAGGTGATCCACTGGGCTCACTCGTCTTTGCTCACCTGCCATCCGGGCGTACGTCGGACCATGTTCGCCATCACGCAGAGGTTCTGGTGGCCGTCCATGGAGCCGGAGGTCAGGGAGTACGTTGAGGCATGCTCCGTCTGCGCCAGGAACAAGAACTCCTCCAGAGCCCGCGCAGGCTTGCTACAGCCGCTGCCCATCCCGTCCCGGCCGTGGGCAGAGATCTCGATGGATTTTGTCACGGGGCTACCGACCTCCAAGGGGAACACCACGGTGTTGACCGTGGTGGATAGATTTTCAAAGATGGCACACTTCCTAGCCCTACCCAAGCTGCCCACCGCTAAAGAGACCGCTATCTGCATGATGAACAACGTGTTTAGGATCCACGGGTTCCCCAGAGACATTGTGTCCGATAGGGGGCCCCAGTTTGTCTCGCGGTTCTGGCAGGAGTTCTGTAAGCTCATCGGAGCCACAGCTAGCCTCACATCGGGGTACCATCCCGAGGCCAACGGACAGACGGAGCGCCTCAATCAACAACTGGAAACCAGCCTCCGGTGCCTGGTGGCCCAGAACCCTGCGTCATGGAGCGAACACCTGACGTGGGTAGAGTACGCCCATAACTCCCTTCCCACCTCCGCCACTGGCATGTCTCCCTTCCATTGCGTTTTTGGTTACCAACCCCCTGTGTTTTCCGAGTCCGAACCAGAGGTGTCTGTGCCCTCCGCCCAGGCCTTGGTCCGCCGCTGCCGCCGCATCTGGGCAGCGGCACGCCAGACGCTAATCAGACAAGGGGACAGAGTGAAGAAAGCAGCGGACCGCAGGAGAAGACCGGCTCCAGTGTACCAGCCCGGCCAGCGAGTATGGCTCTCAGCCAAGGACCTACCCTTGCAGGTCGAATCACGAAAGCTGGCCCCTCGCTTTGTCGGCCCGTTCCCCATCTCGAGGATTATCAATCCAGCAGCTGTGCGCCTCCGTCTGCCCCGGTCCCTGAGGGTACACCCAACCTTTCATGTCAGCAAAATCAAACCAGCGAAGGAGAGCGCAATGGTGCCAAACCCCAAGCCACCCCCACCCCCTCGAATGGTCGAGGGGGGGCCGGTCTACACGGTGAGGAAACTGCTGGCGGTACGTAAGCGGGGACGGGGCAGGCAGTTCCTCGTGGACTGGGAGGGCTACGGCCCAGAGGAACGACAATGGGTCTCGTCTAGCTTCATAGTGGACCCGGATCTCATTCGAGATTTTTATAGAGCACACCCGGACATTCCAAGGCCGCCTGGTATTCGGCCTTGAGGGGGGGGTAATGTCACACCTGTATGTCAAGTTGCGTTTTTGTCCTGTCTCCAGTTGTTTTTTGACTTCCTGTTTTATTTTGGAAACTAACTCCCTCTCGTTTCAGGTCCCTTTCCCTTCCTCATGTGTCACCAGTCTGATTGTCTTCCCTGATTCCTGATTGTGTCCACCTGTTCCCACAACTCCCTCATGGGTACTTATAGTCTGCGTCGCCCCTTGTCCTGTGCCAGTGTGTCTTGTTGTTTTGCCCTGCACACCAGCCCTCACGTCACGAGTCTAGTCAAGTCCGATAACGTTTGTCACGTCCTTTTGATCCCTGTTACGTTTCCTCGTTTAAGAGAGATTTTGAGTTTTTGCCTTTTGAATTTTGATCTCAACCTTTTTCCTCATTAAGAGAGATTTTGAGTTTTTTCCTTTTGAACTTTGATCGCAACCTTTTTTCCTCATTAAGAGAGATTTTGAGTTTTTTCCTTGTTATTAATAAAAGCAATATCAGCTGAACCCTCTGCGTCCGAGTCCTCCTCCTCCCGGCCTGACACCGGTCACTGCATGAAGCCCTATGAGTATGAATTGGGTAATAGTGGAAAATGTGACGTGATGGTGGCCCAAGCGGAAAGGTCAATGATAAAAAAAACACATAGTTACATGGAAATCCAATTTTAAGTTGTTGATCACAATGTTGTATGACATCAGGGTAGCACCATAGTATTCAGATATCATCCCATGAAGACCATTAGGGTTAAAGGAGACATTTCATGCTACTTTTAAGACTCATACTTGTATTTAGGGCTTCCACTATAACACATTCACATGTTTTAATGTTACAAAAACATATCCTTTTTCTCGTACTGCCTGTGTGAATATCCCTGTATTCACCTTTTGCCTGAAACGTTCCATTTTAGCGTCTGTTTCTTTAAGCCCCCCCCAACCCAAACCAGACCATTCTTTGCGCAAGTCCAGCATTACATTGGCCCAGGGCGAGAAAACAGTCGGTTTCAAAATGATTTGGACAAACCCACATCTTTTTCCCCGACTTTTTGCCAGGACATTGTCTCCATATATGAAATAAATCCATTAAATTATTGTGCCTTCAAAGCCTGGGACCCCATGTAGAGAAATATGCAGAACTGTGCGGATGGGAATATTTCCCTCTCCAAACCAAAGTGATGGGCAGGCAGTCAAACCAATCGAGATTGAGATCCTTATGCCATACTGCCAGCAGGGCAAAAAAAAGCAGATTACACCGTAATATGCATGGGTATATGTGCTATATTTGTTAAGGATATTAGGCATCACCTTTCCATAGAAGCAGAGCAGGGAATGGAACAAGCCAGCTATGAGGGTTCCCAGGTAGATCGGGTTGGGTAACCTGGAAGGAAGAACAGAGGTTCTTTCAACAAAGAGATCAAAGAAACTCACTGGTAAACACTTTAGATGTGTAACATTTTTGGTCAAACCTTTGGTATGTGGTCATGCGGTGGTACTGTGTGAAGATGCTTCTGGCCAGCCAGGGGAAGAGCAAACCACAAGTTAGCCCCCCGTAGCCTCCCAACATGGCTGCTATTAGCAGGATGGCAGCTCCAGTCAGCGTTGGAAACAACAGTGTCCAGTAATACAAAACTGGTGAGAAAAGACACAAACATACAATTATGTGTGAGAAAATCCTCAGATAAACGCAACATGCTTGTTTTCAGCTGCAAATGAATGATCAAAACTAAAGAGTTGTACTCACCATTCGACTCCCTGGGGTTGTGGTGTAATGGCTCATTAATGTAACGATTCAGTAGCTTGGTGAGTTGCTGATGCCTTGAGAAAAAATACATGGTAAATGTATTTATTTATCAGGATCCAAAGAGAAAGAAGTAACGTGGACGTGCAAACCTTGTGGATATCTGGAGGTTCTGAGGGGTGTGTCTATCCCATGCAGTGTGTGCTAGCCAGTTTCTTTTCCAGATGTTTCTAGAGACTCACCTAAATGTTTTCCCCTGTTTGCTGAGGTCCAATGGTGTGAGGCCGCTGTGGTTCTTCTGATGGAGCATCCTGCACCCAGTTCTCTGCATCAGTGTCCAGCACACCTCCACTCCACCCCTCTCTGCTGCAATATGAAGCGCAGTCGCTCCCTGCTGGTCAACTGCATCCACAGCACATCTCTGAGGCACAAACAGAGGCCTGAGCTGCACAGCATGGAAAATGTCTGCACTGGTGTCAATGTCACAAATGCATCTTTTTTTTTTTATCTGAGTGGTTGCCAACAATAACACTTATTATTTAACCAGGAAGTGAGTTAAAACCATTGAGAACCAAAAACACAAGCTAAAGGTGACAAAAAGGAGTTAAAGGTTGATTCTCAGTGGGTCTGGCAACAATAGTTAGACCTATCAAATAAAGTTCTATCGCACCCTTGGCATACTGGACCATTGGAGTGAGTGACAGAGTAAGAGCCGTCATGTCATACCTGGTCTCTGAGCAGATATCGCACCACCTCTGTGTTGCCTGTGGATGCAGCCAGGTGAAGTGGTGTCACATGGTACATGTCTGTGTCTGAAAACCGGAACATTCCTGTCTCCCACAAATAGTGCACTGCAACACTGGGAAAAAATCACAATATAACAGTAAGTGCATGCATGATATATTAGTGCGTGGTTCAGCATCTCTGCGAGACAAAAGACAAAAGACAAAAACGTCTGCACTGTTTTCTTTTCTTTCACTCACATGCTGCCCCCCGTGACTGCATGATGCAGGGAGGTTTTTTGCTGCAGATCAATGAGACGCAAATCAGCTCCATACTGCATCATTTGGTGGATGATGAAGATGTTCCCTTGCCTGATGGGAGCCAGAAGCAGAGACTTTTATTTCACTGGATCCAGCACAGAACTAAACGATTATAGACGTAAATGTGCAGCTGCTCCTCACCTGCAGGCAAAATGAAAGGCGGTCTGTCCAGCGTCACATGTCAGGTTGGGGTCAGCTCCGTTACTTAGGAAAAAGTTAACCAGGGAGCGTGTACCATGGAGGGCAGCGTAGTGGAGCGGGGTGAAACCACCCCAGCCTGGATGGAGAAAAACATCACAGTCTCTGTGACTAACAACATAGTTGTAAATGCACACTCTGTCAGCCTGTTGATCGTTGAGACCCTCTGGAGTCCGGGAACATAAAGGTGCCCGAGGGAAAGTGTGACTTTGCGGTGTGTTGTCACAGGATCTGTCCATCCAGATCTGTGCCAGACCTTCTCACTGAAGAGATGCAGCTGGGTCAGGTTTCCACTTGGCATTGTAACAATATCACCGCAGAGGACACCGGAGCACAAGTTTTAAGTGGTTCCTCAAAAAAACGAGAATTAAAAAATTTGCAGGCTACTTTTTCACATTATGACTTAGACATATTTCAATATACAACATATGCATTACACACATACAGCATAGGACGAGTTTGTGCTTTTTGAAAACAGTGTTCATCAGCAATTTATAAATACATATGTTCCTATGTTGTATGACTGTAATTCATATGTTGTAAATATTTATTTATTTATTTTGAGTAAAACAGGAAATACTGACTAAACACCACAGCATACTGACAGTCAGGGGCACAGTAGGAAGCAGTGGACTGTGGTAGACTGTAGATTTGAATTGCATCTCATGTCCCCCTTACCTTTTTGCTTGAGGATTGATCGGTCACTCTGAACGAACTGTACACACATTTCAATATCCCCTTTCTGTATACAGTCAAATATGTCTCCGCGGTTATCGGAGACCACGGGCATCGGATGCATGACGGCAGCCCGCGAGCGGCCTGCTCGTATTTCCGCCCGGAGGAACCGCAACGTAAACTACAATCAGCACCGAGGACGAAGCGCCGCAACATCATAACGTAACGCGAGAAGGGAGCTCATTTTTCCGCTTCAAAGTAACGGGCATTGTGCTAAAGCGGCCGGGGCAGACCACGCCCTGGACACCTCGTTGGCTGCGGCGGGTCACGTGACAACTGACGTCAACCGCGTCAACAAAACAGACGGGCTCTACCAAGCTCTGAATTGTATTTAGCGTTATATGCATGACGTGCTTATAACACGGAGGCATTGGAGCAGGAAAAAAAAACTTCGTCAGCAAACTTGCAGTAGGCAAGAAATGCAGTTGTTATTATTTATTTTGCCAACGTGTAGTTTGTCAACTAGGCTGGCGCATGCTTCTGCGTCGTTGCGTCGACGCACTCGTTTCAATTCATGGTTCGTCTTGCGTGTGTTGCAGAGCAATTCACCGCCAGAACAACAGGTGGAGTAGCGTGTTTTTGTCTAAGACGACCGAGAGAGTCATGTGTGTGGAAGTCGTTGGTTTGTTTATTTATTTATCGTAGACTTTATTGCCCCATGCATCGCCAGTGCTGCTTTTCATTTTCCTCCACAACTTTGTTCACACCTCGTCCGGCAAACCGGCGTTTGCGGAGATCTCCCTCCATGAATCAGAGGCCATCCGCGCGTCCTTATAGTCCGCCAATGACGGGTTGTATGAGTGGTCATATTTACGCATTTCTTCCGACAAAAGCTGTTCAACCTGATCCGTTCTCCCGTAAACATTCTTCGTTTTAATAATGGCGGTATCAGGCTATGAAAGCGGAAATGTGAGACTCCGTAAAGGATGTAGTTAGCGGACCAATCGCAGCCTTGTGCGCTGCGGGAGGCTTGCGTCGCCTAGAATAATGGGTAGACGCACGCAAGCGGCTGCAGTGTTCAGACACTGTTTGCGACATCCGCAATAGCGTCCGGGGTGTCTTTGCGACACTGAAGTGAAGTGCGTGTGTGTCTTTTTCTTTTTTTTATGTTGGGGCTCGGACGTTACAAAAGGTCAATGTGCATTAAAGTAAATTATCACTGCTGCAGCCGAAGCCCTGCTGATAAAGCACGGAGGCGCACAACGGACGGCACCGAGGAGGAGCTCCGCAGAGGGAATAAAATGCCTTAACAATGAACGGTAACGCTTCAGAGAGAGAGTGTCTCCAACTTCAGCAGGTGATGGTGATTCCTTAGCCTGCCTTTTCCTTGTAACCATTTGGACTTTTCCCTATTAGGCAAAGAACGTGTATTCGTTAATTGATCACATAATTAAAAACGGAGGTATATGTATGCGTCACACCAGCGCGGGATGTCAACACAGCAGCAAATGTGTTCAGTAAACAAAAGCACCTTAGGTTTTGGCCTATTTAGGCACAGTATTTTGGAACTGCCTTTTATTATTGTCCCCATGTTTTCATTTATGATTAAAGCCCACTAGGTGGCGCTGTAATCATTTTAGCCACATTCCATTAGCACTGATTTAATTGTGTATGTCAACAATACTGTCACTGTACTTTCACAATCTCAGTGCTGTATCACTCCACAAGCACTGCATCGACACACAAAATGAATATCTTAACACGAATCAAAGCTTTCAATCTCTCCATTGAAACCTTTTATGACAAACTGTTCACTGGCGTCTTTGGCAAATCATGGGACCCTTTAACTAATGTCATAACGTGTCTATAAAAAGCCGAGGGACTCGTCTTTGAGCTCTGGTGGGAGGGCCCCATCAAACCAGCCGAACAACCCATTTTCACTTCTGCTTTGCTGAGGAAGTAAGAAGGCACATGATCCGGGCCGGCTGATTTTAACTGGCTCCGCTTGCTCAAAGTTCAGTCTGCTTAAAGGCAGATTAGTGAGGGGTGGCTCATTTCACTGAAGGGTCAACAAAGAAGGCGCTAGCCGTGCATTCGCAGGTCTCTGCATGTCTTCTGGAATGACACAACGCAAGATGACAGCGTCCTCGTAGGGCTGAGAAAAAAGCCGATGGCTCTCACACAAGTACTGGTAAGAGGACTTCACAGTGTGCTGCATGAATATTCTTTCCTTTGAGCTGCATAGAGAAGGTTGCTACCGCCCCCCTGATCATGTGATTTACATACTTGGGTGTCTGTCGTTGTCAGTAGGGCATATGTGTTACTTTTCTGTTTCACAAGTGGCTGCTTTTCTGCTCTCTTGCTGTCGGCATCTCTCCCACACACAGCACATTCTCACATGGGGGAAAACTTCAAAGTATCAATTCATTTGTCTGGAATGTGCCGTTCCCTCTACTTAACCAAGCTAATCAGTTTAGCCTCCACTTGTATTCCTTATGGTTAGGTGTGTGTGTGTGTGTGACTCAGAAAGTCCCCAAAATAATATCACTGCAATGAGGAAACAATGCCCTTTTCAAAGCAATAGTCATAGATTGGGAGCAGGACTCCTTCTCCACGGTTACCGGGACAGAGAAGTGTGTAGACAATCTAACTTTCGAAGAATTTCTTTGCACGTGATCGATGACTTTGGCGACGCAAGGGCAATTGAGAGGGACTCGTGTTTAATCAGTGTCACATTGATTTGATTTTGTAAAACAAAAGATCCCAACTTGCCATCTTTTACATTTGTGCAGCTCAAATTTTTAAAATAGATTTGACTGGTACGTGACAGCAGGGACTCGGTACTCCCAATTGCTGCTCAGTGGCTGTCGTTTCAACAAGAGAAAATAATAAATACCAAACATGTATAAACCAAACATGTATAAACTCCATTTAATGGGGAATTTGAAGCTTTAATGGTTTTAATCGTCCTACTTACTAAACATTTGGATCCTTGACAGAAGTTGACAATTAGTTGTTAAAAATTGCACATGCCTGTCATTGTCCTGCTCTTCTATCTGGGGATTTCTCAATTCCGACTGTGATATTCGGACCTTATGGTGGGCGCTGGCCGGCGGGCGGGCTGAAGATTTGTTCGGGCCCAAAATTATTTGAAGAAGTGAGACAATTCAAGGGAATGATTAAAAAAAAGATATTTAGGATGTTACGTAAACGTGGTCTCTAATAAAAGATGGAACAATGTGAGGATTTGTTAATCTTCTGGCTCTGTTTCCTCCCCCTCCAGGGCCAGACTGCTAAAGGGGGAAGGATCAATAAGGAAACTGGAGAGCTAACTGCTTCAGGGGAGTTATCCGTCTCTGTGGAGCTAAAGGTGGAGCGCTCTTGTAGGAACCCTCAGCTCCCACAAGTGCTTAAAGAACAGCTTCATGAGCTGGGAATTCTCACATACGTGAGTCCTGACAACAAAACTGACCACGTCCCTTTGGAGCAGAGAGAGGAACGTCTAGTCAAAGTCCTGCCTCTCTACCTGCAGGTATGAACCTCTCAGACAACAAAGTGCCTTTTTAATCCCTCATTGTTCCAGAGTTATATTTTAGGCTGTTCTTCAGTCAATGGAGTAATTTTTTTTTCAGTTGTAAAATAAATGCAGACTATCTTTAATCGATTACAGCAGGATCATCTAATTTGGGGGCCGTGGTTGGATTAATATCCAACCTCTGAAAAAGGTTAAATGGGGGCCTCGAGTCAAGCTGTTTGAAGGAAACCCTGTCAGATGGCAAACACATGTTAGGCCCTCAGCTGATCCTCACTGTCTCTTGACCTAATGCATGTGAGGTCTCTCAGTAACCCTTTACAGTTTGCTCAACTCCCACAGCAAACACAAGGTGGAATCAGGCCCCATTTTTATAGTGTGAATCCTTAATTCTGTGTGACTGAAACGCGTCACGGTTCTGAAGGAACCGTTCAACCCGTGCACACTCTCGGTACACATTCCATCACACGTGGCGCGACGTGGCGCGGTGTGTGTGAGCGTAACTATATGTAAATGTATGTGTATGTATGAAAGCCCCATGACCGGCATGTAGGGAACTCACTTAAGAACAAAACAAAAGTCATTAAATTGTGATATCCTGTCACGGAACGGATAAGAACATATCACACCGGCTTCCATTGGAGCAACTAACCCAAAACAGCTCATATTTAACGACAATATGGTTGTTTCGCTGCATGTCATTGTGCCCATGTGGAGCACACACAGTACAACCCAATGAGCACAACAATTTCTGCTCACAGTTCCACAACTCCACACGGTTCATATTAAAAATTCCTATTACATGGCTACCATTTCCCCTCCAAATGTGATAATCTCTATCACACTCAATCACTACAGGCCCTAAATATTTTGTTTTGCTCTCCAGTGTATTTTGTATGACGGGCCGTCTCCTCTCTGATCTCAGGTCTGTGAGGATGGTGGAGGACTCGAGTATTTGAACATAAAGGGGCTTGCAGCGCTCACTGCTGATACTGTCGTCCACAACATCCACAGCAGACTGGCTGAAGGACCTGCAGGTACTAACACTCGTCCATATGTCTGAGTGAACACAGCACAACATTGTTTCAGGCGGCGGGACATTCTATCCCTGGTATCTACTTCTGCATTTTCATTATGCTACGCCTCTTTCAGAGAATGTTTCTTTCTGAAGTAATCCGTTAACTAAAGTGGGCAAAAAAAACTTAATCTGCAGTTCGCTTCTTGAGGTTTGGACGTTCCTTTATCGTTGATCTAGAGATGTCCCGTCACTTTTCTGTCTGTCTCCACGGTCTCACTCCAGTCCTGAGACTTGCTTGTTAAAAGGTTTCTTCTAAGTTCAAGAAGGAGAACCGTTTTTGTTCCGAGGGAAGTGGACACTTCTTGTTTTTGATGCAGGTATTAAGTTGAATGAGAGGCTAACATAGTGCACTGTGCTTTATTACTAATCTTTTATCAAACTTTAGGACACTGAAATGGGGATTTAAATATGAGTGATCTGTTGCAGCGGTAGGTGAAGAGGAACAACTGCAGAATGTACGTTGTGCGGTGTTGTTGCTTTGGGCCTGTTTATGACCTTTAGTCTTTTCTGTTATTCTTCAGCATATGTTCAGTCATGTTGTGCTTGTTTTGTTCTCAGAGGAGGCTCGTCGTGAGGTGGTGCGGTTCTTCCAGAGGCAGGACGCCGAGGAGACAAACTGTGGGGCGACAGACAGTCGAGGATGGCTGCTGTTAAAGGCTCTGCTGCTGCTGACGGCTGACAACTCAGT